CAGACTCGGCGTCTTGCTTGTTAGTCATAAAAGTAAAATCAGCCAATTCAACATATTTTATAGCTTCACTAAAATTTACTCTTTCAACAATAGAAGGGCACTGAGTATTAGTCCGTTTACTGTTAAGGGATAGATTTATTAGAATAGAGTCGTGATCAGTTACGGTGGAATTTATCACTATAACACTAGTTTGTAAAACAGTTTTAACCATTACATGATCGAGACAATTGCTTAATCGTGTTGGATATGTGTGGCCTGGCAGAAAACCCAATTCGCTGGTTAAATTTAAGTAAGAGTTACTGTTTCTGTCACCGTTTCCAGGTTTTATATCGATATTTATATCACCTATTAAAAATATATTCTTAGATGATATAGATTTAACAATATCATTCAAAGCATTCAAAAAGCGCTCAGTGTAGTAAAAGGATGGTGATCTATAAATAGCTAAAAGTACAATATCTGGTACTATTTTAGCTAGCAGAAAGTTAGCATCTTTATGATTAGGTTCTTCAATTTCGCAATTTATATTTTGTTTAGCATAAATTATAATACCGTCATTTTGATTTAAGCATTTTTTTGTGAAATAAGAATTATAATCCTTGAGACTGGGTATGGGTTTATGAATAACTTTATGAATAACTTCATACATGTTATACAACATGTATGAAGTTATTTTTAAGTAAAGTGACCATTACTTTAATCTCGTGACTTGATGGTGTGACGTAATTTTTTCGTGTTCCCGCTAAAATTACTGGCCTTGAAAATTTTATTACTACTTGTTATAACATAGATCGAAATTGGGATGGACAACCATGTAGAAATTATTGTCGTTTTTTGACGTAAATATTAATTAATTATCCTGAATAAATTTTGGCCCGGTGAAATCTAATTGACCATCGTCTCGCCGGTTTCGTTGTCTCTGGTTACAAGATATCATATTCTGCGACTATTTCTATACATAATATAGGAGACGCTCAGATCAAGGTTGTGGTTTGGGGGCCTCATAGCCTAGCGGTCTTATTAAGTGGCAGCTAGGTGAGGGGTACCGGGTTCGATTCCCGGTTCGAGGGCAAGTTTTAATTTAATTTAAATTTGTTCTCGGCCTTTGGGAGGGTTGTGCGGTACAGGGCGAGTGCCTAAAACCGTACATGGAGGACGTGGTCGAATATCTAAGGCAAAAAGCACGAATTATAAAAATCTTATACCTGACGCTGGCTAATGCACAAACCGTGCCAGAGCCATAATTAAAAAAAAAAAAATTGTGGTCGTTATGTCATCGCGTCAGATCATCATGTTGGCCTGCATTTCACTGGTTCTTGGTACAACAAGATTTGGTAGTTTTTGACCATCAAAATAAAAAAATCTAATCTAAGTCCGTCACACTTAGCGTAACATCTAGCGATTCGAATTTCGCTCTAATCATGTTAGGTATAGTAAAACTGGAGATTCTACGAATAGCTACTTGATGTCAAAACAATGGACCAATCCCTAGATTGTTTTGTTAACATTGTGCGTTTTCCAATTACAGAGCATTATGCGACTCAGTGCCGCACAATGCCGCATAATGCTGAAGCTTAATTGGAACGTGAATTAGTTTTCAAATGCATCAGCAGAGTGCGCTAAGTCAGTGTTGTAAAAAAAATGTTATGAATTGAGTTAGCAACCTCATTAATGTATAAATAATGTGGTAAACAATAATAATTGGTTGAAAACTTTTTACGCTTATTTTAATCATCAAATTATTTCATTAACATTTTTTTTATTGAAATAATAGAAAAACGCGAGAGCATTCGTTTTGAGAGTGCTCAATTGTGCGAAGCGTTGCTGTAGTTGGAACACTCAACGTTGAGCATTATGCCGCAAAATGCGCTCTAGTGCTGTAATTGGAAAACGCACCTTAACTACAACATATTCATACTTTCCACACGTCTGTAGGCTGTGGGAGCGCCAGCTTTAGTGAATGCTGAAATTGCTGTGCTGTGGGTGGTCGCATCATGAAGATACGTTAAATCAGTCGACCTTTTGGTGTACAACATCTCGTAGATATTCTTAGTTAAAATTATGAATTCTATTTTTATATGAAATTGAAAAATACAAGTTTTACAGAATTAGGTTGGCCTATGTCTGGTACTGAGTACCTATGTAACAATTGGGCATTTAAACATTTTTAATACCTTCCCTTCACACTAGCAATAATGTTATTAAACTACGGATGGAAAAAGAAATAATTTTAGATGTTGTTATTTTTTTTTAATCCTATTTTTCCTTTTGTTTTTGACGTGACAACGTCTTATAATTCGATGGAGCCGGCTGCACGCACGAAAAAACATGACTCATGCGGCGTTACTTTGCTCTGAGGCGTTACCTCTCTCTGAGGCGTTCCTTCGCTCTGAGGCGTTACCTCTCTCTGAGGCGTTCCATTTAAGGCTAGAAGTGCAAGCGAGAGCGCCGAACGACAAAGAGGCACAATCGCCCTCCGCGTTTGGCAGCGTTCGACATCTGTCATTCTCTTACTTAAGTGAACGATGCGTCCACGTGGAGAGCTGCTATACAAAAATACATTTAAATGTTTTGATCGAGTGTCAAGTGCAGTGAAAAGTGAATGTGGTGTCAATTGTTTATAGCAACGATAATTACAGCGATAAAGGTAATGATTCTTTCGATATTAATTATATATTCAGTGATATATTGTCGAATATTCGTGCTTTCATCATTAAAATGAATAGCATCGGTCCGCTAGTGCAGCGATTGTGTAGGTTATGCTATAATTGACAAAATTAAAACAATAAGTTAACAGAACTATTTCATGATGAGTAAAAAATTGATGGCTTTATTCAATCGAAATAATTATCGAGCGTAGCTATGATTTAAAAAAATTAAAACATAAATATTAAATCTTCCACATATTAGAACAACGTGTCTGAAATGACAGGTTGGACCAGCCATCCGTCAAAGGGAACATTTTCTCCTATATCAAACACATTGAGGCGGGCTTTTTAAAAACTAGATTTACGAAAATTTTAATGTTTCCAAATTTTAAATGTAAGATTTATAAACAATAATTTAATAATTGTTTATTCTTATAATGAATTATTTAAAATTATTACTTTTTTATAACAAATTACAATTAAATTTGCAAAAATAATTAAGTAACTAATTGAAAAAATTTAATTATATTATTAAAATAATAAAATCAAAATTTAAATTTTAACAATTGAGTAGAAATTTAAACAATAAATTTTATTCAAGTATTTTGTTGTATTTTTATTTTTTAAATTTAAAATGATTTTCTGAATGATAAATTTTATGAATTTTTTTTTTTTTAAATTGTTTCGAACGACGATTTATTTTGCAGAACCGCTTACAATCCCACCATGGAAAAAAAGCCTGACGAACCAGAGGATGTCACGAATAAGCCACTACCTTCGATGAGTGAACCCATGGAGGTTCAAGATGCTGTAGCATCTACTTTAGCAACGCCATTCGCGCAGCCAACAATCACTGCTTCAAAATCGAAAGCCCAAAAACAACGTGAGTACAGACAGCGTATCACAGCATCTAGAACTCCTGCTCAGGCGGCTGCTGCGAGAAAATCGAAAAACGATAGACAACGCAACAACAGACTACGCCAAGCTGCTAACTTGGTTATTGCCAGTAATTCTCTTGAAACGACAACTACATCTCCATCTCGTTCAGGGGAAGAGTCGGACAATGTCCAAACTAGAAGTCAACGACAACACGCGCAACAACAATCTACCACCACTGCAGATCAACCTGATGAGCGTGTCAATCTCACAAATGAGCCACTCTTTCCTGCAATTCCTGTTCCGATGGAGGTTCAAGATGCTGTAGAATCTACTTTAGCAACGCCATTCGCGCAGCCAATAATCACTGCTTCAAAATCGAAAGCCCAAAAACAACGTGAGTACAGACAGCGTATCACAGCATCTAGAACTCCTGCTCAGGCGGCTGCTGCGAGAAAATCGAAAAACGAAAGACAACGCAACAACAGATTACGCCAAGCTCCTAACTTGGTTATTGCCAGTAATTCTCTTGAAACGACAACTACATCTCCATCTCGTTCAGTGGAAGAGTCGAACAATGTCCAAACTAGAAGTCAACGACAACACGCGCAACAACAATCTACCACCACTGCAAGTCAACCTGATGAGCGTGTCAATCTCACAAATGAGCCACTCTTTCCTGCAATTCCTGTTCCCATGGAGGTTCAAGATGCTGTAGCATCTACTTTAGCAACGCCATTCGCGCAGCCAACAATCACTGCTTCAAAATCGAAAGCCCAAAAACAACGTGAGTACAGACAGCGTATCACAGCATCTAGAACTCCTGCTCAGGCGGCTGCTGCGAGAAAATCGAAAAACGAAAGACAACGCAACAACAGATTACGCCAAGCTGCTAACTTGGTTATTGCCAGTAATTCTCTTGAAACGACAACTACATCTCCATCTCGTTCAGGGAAAGAGTCGGACAATGTCCAAACTAGAAGTCAACGACAACACGCGCAACAACAATCTACCACCACTGCAAGTCAACCTGATGAGCGTGTCAATCTCACAAATGAGCCACTCTTTCCTGCAATTCCTGTTCCCATGGAGGTTCAAGATGCTGTAGCATCTACTTTAGCAACGCCATTCGCGCAGCCAACAATCACTGCTTCAAAATCGAAAGCCCAAAAACAACGTGAGTACAGACAGCGTATCACAGCATCTAGAACTCCTGCTCAGGCGGCTGCTGCGAGAAAATCGAAAAACGAAAGACAACGCAACAACAGATTACGCCAAGCTCCTAACTTGGCTATTGCCAGTAATTCTCTTGAAACGACAACTACATCTTCATCTCGTTCAGGGGAAGAGTCGAACAATGTCCAAACTAGAAGTCAACGACAACACGCGCAACAACAATCTACCACCACTGCAGATCAACCTGATGAGCGTGTCAATCTCACAAATGAGCCACTCTTTCCTGCAATTCCTGTTCCCATGGAGGTTCAAGAAGCTGTTGCATCTACCTCTGCGACGCTATTTGCAGAACCAACAACAAGGGCACAAATACAACGTGAGTATAGACAGCGGATTGCTGCATCCAAAACTCCTGCACAGGCAGCAGCTGCAAGAGAAGCACGTAATGTAAGAGATCGAAACAACAGATTACGCCAAGCTGCTAACTTGGTTATTGCCGGTGGTTCTCTAGAAGCGACAACTAGATCCTCATCTCGTTCAGGGCAAAGGTTAAACACCGTTCATATTGATACTCAACGACAATTTACCGACCAACAACGTCAAACTTTAGCAACAGAACCAGCAGAAACTACTGTACAACCAAGTACTTCTTCAGATCAAATTGAAGTTCAAGCACAATCTACTTGGAACACTAAATGGTCATCATCAATCATAAGATTCAAATCTACTTTTTTGGACAACGATTTTGGCTACGCTTGCTCGGTCTGTGACAGACTTTGGTTTAGAAACGACCTTAAATCCATCACTGCAGCACAGCTGAAGGTAATTTCGGATTGGTTTGTCAAAGAAAATCGACAACTGAGCAGCGAAGAATATGAACTGGTTTGCAACACTTGCAAAAAGTCACTAAACAAACAATCGATGCCACCGCTAGCAAAAGTTAATGGATTCTCATATCCTGACCCACCACCAGGCCTACCACCGTTAGATCCCATCAGTGAACGATTGATTTCGCCTCGTCTACCATTTATGCAAGTGCGTCGTCTGCGCCATGATTTCTCTTATGGAATCATAGGACAAGTGATAAACGTACCAGTCGACGTTCAAGAAATGGTAAAATGTTTGCCGCGACAATTGGATGAGGACGAAGTTATTAATGTAAACATTAAAAGAAACCTTGCCCACAAATCTGTTTACATTAGCGGATACATGTCCAAAAGTACAGTTACTTCGTGGTTAACTGTTCTGCAGAACTCTCCATTATATCGTTTGTATGAAATTAAAGTGGACTTGTCGAGACTGAATCATGCTTTGCCGGACTTCGATGACGTAGAGGATGACCCGTCAAACCGTATAGAAAATATCTCCGCAGAACAGAATCCTGAATCTGAAATTCTCGCTTCAAGACAACATACCGTGATGTGGAACGTAGAAGATTGTCTCAATATCGCACCAGGACACCGGGCAACTCCCCTCAACATTATTTACGACCGTCATGCAGAAGAGTTGTCATTCCCATCAATATACTATGGAAATCCACGTCGATTCCACATGGGAGTTTCAGTGACACCTTACATGATGGCAACCAGTGAAATACGACGAAGCGACAGACGCGGAGCCACGCCTCAAAAAATCTTGTACGTAGCAATGAAAATTTTGCGGCTACGTATGGTGGATGGAATTTACAGCACGTTTCGCAGCGTTTCAGTCACAGAAAATGTTACACGTCGTATGTTAGAACACCCAGAATTTCTGAAAGAATATGTCTTACAAAACCTCGCATTCATGAAGACAGTGCCAAACTCCGTCCAATACTGGGCTTCTCGCAAACGTGACCTCTTTGCCATGATTCGTCAACTTGGTAAACCAACCATCTTTCTCACTATAAGTGCAAACGAAATACGATGGATGAAGTTGCTTTCTATACTTCTCAGACTGAGCAATAAATATCCTGGAAAATCAGCAGGAGATCTCAACACTTCCGAGCGCTGTACTTTAGTTAGTGACGATCCTGTGACGTGCTGCATTTACTTCTACAAGCTCGTCGGTTCCTTGATGAAAATGCTGGAATCCAAACAGTCCTATAATCCATTCGGAGAGTATTTTGTTAGAGATTACTTCATTCGTTTTGAGTTCCAGCATCGAGGAAGCCCCCACGCACACATTTTATTTTGGTTAAACAACGACCCACATGAAACCCCGTCAGAATATATGCCAAAAACCATTGAGCTCGTAGATAAATTGAGTACGGTAGCCCGGAATGATGTACCTAACAATTCCATCTACGCAAACCAGATACACAGACATACTTTCACATGCACGAAGCGAGGTGAGACAATTTGTAGATTCGGAATTCCGTACTGGCCAATGTCTACGACTTGTGTATTAGTTCCAATGCCTCAATCTGATAAACGCCGTCGAACACTACAACAGAAGGCGAAAGAGCTGCGTACTTCACTCGATGAACGTCGGTACGCGGGCATGGATTACTTTCTTGGAGCTAATGGTTTGACACACGATTCATACCTTGACATTGTGCGCTCAACGTTACGCAGACCAACTCTTCTGTTCAGACGAAACTTAGACGAACTTATGACAAACACGTTCAATCCGTACATCGCTGGTGAAGTCAACTCAAACATCGACATTCAATTTATCTTGGATGAATACAGCTGCGCAGAGTATGTTGTGGAGTACGTAAATAAATCAGCTCGTGGAATGGGCAATCTACGTCGTGAGCTTACTACGATGATGCAAGAGCATCCCGAACGGGACTATACAGACCAGTTGAAAGCTTTAAGCATCAAGCTGCTTAACGCTGTCGAGATGTCAGCGCAAGAAGCAGCATGGTATCTCCTACGTCAACCAATGAGCGAGACAAGTCGTCAAGTTGCGTACATTCCAACAGTATGGCCGACGGAAAGACAACGTTGCCGCAAACGTCGTCAACAAATGGACCGCGAAGGGCTTGACGAAAACAGTACTGATGTCTGGACCAAAAACATAATTCAGCGCTATGAAGAGCGTCCTGCATCTTTAGAACAAGTGTATTTAGCTGAGTTTGCATCGTGGTATGCTAAAGCTAATGATTTCGTTGACGAGGAGGACGACGTGCACGTGGATGGCGAAGAAGATCTAGAAAATGAACCCGTAGCAAGAATGTCAAGAGCACGAAATCAATACCGCAAACGACTAATCGGACGCGTTATACGGTACAGACATTACGACATGGACGAAACTGTCAATTATAAACGAGAAATGGTTCTATTATACGTACAATTCCGCAACGAAATGTTAGAAATTGTTGATCAAAATAAATTTCTCCAATTATTTGACGACAACAAAGACGCGATCATGGAACGCCGTAGTCAATTCGAGTCTAATTTGAACATTGAAAACGTCATGAGAGAACTTGAAGCGATGATGATTTTGCAAAACGAAGACAACAGTAATTTACGGGAAGAAGAATCCAGAACAGCCTTTGTTCAACAGTTGTTAGGAGAGGATGGTGCCGAAAACGTCGATGATGTTCACCAAATCGTCTCACGACAAGGATTCTCGATTGTAAAGAAACGCAGCAATGTAATGTCAAAGCAACAGTATTGTGAACTTGTACGAACAACTAATCCGGAACAACGACAGATCATTCTTGAGGTTATACATCGATTGCATGGTTGTGGAGATTACACTTCTGAAGCAGTTCAAATTTTCTTCACGGGTCCTGCAGGCTGTGGAAAAACTTACACGTTAAAGTGCCTCATGGAGACATACAACCGCTACACTCAGGAGCACAACTCAATGAACAACGCCTACATTGCCTGTGCAAGCACAGGTAAAGCCGCTGTACCTCTTGGTGGCACTACAGTCCATTCAGCGTTTCGTCTCACAACTTCTCGCGTGACGAAACTCTTATCCACAGAAAATTTGCAAGCTTACAGAAACATGTTCGTAGGCGTCAAAGCTGTTTTCATCGACGAGATCAGCATGTTAAGTTCAGCTATTCTTCAACAAGTTAACTACCGATTGCAGCAGATTACTGGCATATACGACAAACCTTTCGGAGACATTCACGTTATATTATGTGGAGATTTCAGACAGCTTCCACCTGTACGAGCAACTCCATGTTATACTATGCCGATCAATCAATTAGGAGGTCCGATTCTTTGGCACAGCATTGATTACTTCCCACTGGTTCGTGTTGTGCGACAAACCGATGAGCGGTTTTCAACGATTCTAACAAAAATCGGCGATGGACTTCAACTAAGCAACGATAATATCTCCCTTATTGAGTCCAGACATAGAACTCAGGCTTGGTGCAAGGAAAGCGTGCCTGATGCTGTCAGGCTGTATTATAGTAACAATGAAGTGGATTCGTACAACCGAAGCGCAATTCTAAATGCATACAACTGTCTCGCACATGATATTAAAAATAAAATATGTTTATTATGGAACATGAGATACATGTATCACTTATTCCACGTCATTAAATTTGAAGGCATCCCTACTCATCGGCAAAGAAGACAGAGGGTGTAGGCCGAGAGAAAAAGCCGGCGTAAAAAACTCTCGGTACTCTTTTAAAACAGCAAATCATCAAACAACACTTATTTAAAACAAATATCGCAAATTGATTAGAAGTAGCCTGTCTAGCACTAGTCCCAGGCCCTTTTATCAACTAGATAATCGTTGACTTTATAGTAAGCCTTTTTACACAGCTTTTCTTTAATACATTTTTTAAATTTATTGAAAGGCAGTGATAAAAGAGCCTCTGGGATTTTATTAAAGAAGAGTATCCCTTTCCCCAAAAAAGAATTACTAACTTTAGATAGTCTAGTACGGGGAAATTGCAGCCTGCGTTTGTTCCGTGTATTAACATTGTGCGTATGTTCTATTCTAGTAAACTTATCACTATTTTTGTATACATACATAATATTTTCATAAATATATTGCGAGGGAAAGGTAAGTATATTAATTTCCTTGAATTTATCTCTAAGAGATTCCCTACATTTTAAATTATAGATTGCACGAATAGCCCTCTTCTGCAGGATGAAAATAGTTTCGACATCAGCAGCATGACCCCATAATAATAAGCCATAAGTCATTAAGCTATGAAAGTAACTAAAATAAACAAGTCTAGCTGTATCGACATCAGTTAGTGAGCGAATTTTTTTAACCGCGTAGGCTGCAGAACTAAGTCTCTTCGCCAATCCGTTAATATGAGGGGACCACTGAAGTTTTGAATCCATGGTGATTCCGAGAAATACAGTTGTATCATCCAGATTCAATTCCTCACCGTTTATAATTGGTCTAGTATCCATAACCCTTGCATTTTTTGCACAAAATTTAATGCATTTTGTCTTTTTTGCATTAAGTAGAAGGTTATTCATACTAAACCAATGGACAATCGAAGACAGAGCATTGTTCACATCGTCAAAATTTGTTATTTGTCGTTTGATTTTAAAAATCAAGGACGTGTCATCAGCAAACAAAACTATCTGATGTTTTCTCTCTACCATGAAAGGTAGATCATTTATATAAACAAGAAAGAGGAAAGGGCCAAGAATTGAGCCCTGTGGTACCCCCATATCTACTGCCGACCCAGAGGACCTCTTACCATTCACTTCAACCTTCTGAGTTCTTCCGTGTAAATAGGAAGTCAGAAGATTCAGTGCGGTATTCTTGATGCCATAGTGGCGGAGTTTCCCGATTAAGGTCTCGTGTTGGACACAATCAAATGCTTTGGATAAGTCGCAGAAAACACCTAAAGCGTCATGCGACTCCTCCCAAGCCTTAACTATATATCTATATAACTCAACACCGGCATCGGCTGTCGAGCGACCCTTGGTAAAACCGAACTGATTATTATGTAATAATTTGTTTACGTTAAAATGACTTACCAGTTGATTTAATATAATTTTTTCAAATATTTTACTACAAGTAGGTAGTACGGAAATTGGTCTAAAGTTACTGGGGTCGGACATACTACCTGCTTTAAATAAAGGAATAACTTTACTATGTTTCATTAGATCGGGAAACTCGCCACTTTTAATACAATTGTTGAAAATTATAGCTAGATGGGGAGCAATTACATCAATTATGCTACTAATTATTTTTACAGAAATACCCCAAAGATCGGTAGTGTTCTTAATATCTATGGTTCTAAATATCCTCACTATATCGTCGGCACCAATGGGTCGGAATGAAAAACTGACCTTGCACTCTTTTACATTATCTTTGAGCAGCGATTCGGCGAGGGCGGGAGATGATTGAAGAGACTTAGTAGTCGAAATTGGAATGTCAGAAAAGTACTTATCAAAAACAATCGCTATCTCTTCGTTAGATTTGATTATAGTGTTATCGACACATAGTTCGATGTCTTGATTGCGATCCCTGACTCTTCCAGTTTCACTATCAATTATCTTCCAAGTCATTTTAGTTTTATTGGTACTATTTTTAATCTTGTTTTTGATATTTAAGGACTTGGCCGCGTAACAAACTTTCTTAAATAATTTCGAATAATTTCGAACATAAAGAATAAATTCTTCATTATGATTGTATGACTTTTCAGCGTAAAGGTCATACAACCGTTGTCTACTTTTATAAATTCCCGCTGTCGCCCAATCACTAAACGATTTACACTGCGAATGAGAGACTTTCTTTGGGGTAAAGATGGTGTTGAACTCTTTATTAATACAATCACTTAGATTGTTGTATTGTGTATCAACGGTAGTACCTACCGGTAATAAAGGTAGGCGTTTACCTATATTATGTCTAAATCTCACCATTCGCTTTTTATTCACTGGAACAAACACACTGCTCTTATTTACTTGTTTCACCACTTTACATTTTAGCGCCACTAACTGTCCACAATGATCTGAGCTAAGATCAGTTGTAATTGAGGTTTGCATTGCCTCTGCATCTGTAAATACATTATCTATACATGTAGCAGTGGAGCTTGTAATTCTAGTGGGCTCAAGAAACAAGTTAACAAGATTGTAAGATTTTAATAACAGATTGAATTTTTTACTAATGGAGGTATTTTCTAATAAATTTATATTGAAGTCACCACATACAATAATATACTTATTGTTCTTAAAACTAACTTTACACAAAATTTCCTCCAACTTTTCTTCAAAAAAATCGTAAGATGCACTTGGTGGTCTGTAAACACTTAAAATAATGCAATTCTCAATCTCTATACAGGCTACTTCCAAAGAGTGTTCTACAGACAGACACACGATGTCATTACGCTCTTTATACTTTAAATTTTTATTAACAATAATCAAAGAGCCCCCATGAATCGCCGACAATCTGCAAAACGAACTTGCAACTTGGTGCTGATCAAAGTTAAAGATGATTTGGCATTCTCTAAGCCAATGTTCGGTAATGCATAGGACATCAATTTTACTTGATTTTAAAAACAACTCCAATTCTAATTCTTTGCCCAACATACCTTGCATGTTTTGATGCATCAAGTTTAAACAGTTGTTGTTAGTAATATAACATGTTTGTGTTGAGCTGAGTTGTACTAAATTATTGCTAGAGTTTGCCTCTATTGTCACACTATCTAATTTAAATTATTTATACTTAATGAAGTGCTACTGCAAGTATCACTACATTCACTTAAGCTAAGCTGCTCAATAGAAGCAGTTGTCTGAAAAGCTAGCTGCTCAATAGAAGCAGTTGTCTGAAAAGCTAAATGTTTAGCTTTAGTTGTAAATAAAAGTAAGATAGCATAGTAGCTATCTGTTGTAAATAATAATTAGGTAGGCGGAACCTATCCTTTGTCAATACATACTTATTTTTAAATATACAATTTATGTCCATTAAATTAGGTAGTGTACCTAAGCCACAATTTAATTGTATATTGTTAGTAGTTAACGTATTGTGCAACAACATGTTTAACTTATATCTAATTTTATTTTCCTTTGGTGCACCTTTGATGTAAGGAAATGTATGCAAGACAATATTCTCTACAATAAGTAAGTAAGTAAGTATTATGCTTGGTTATTCAAGTGAACAAGAGAAGAGACAATATCAAGGTAAACTACACAAGATGACAGTGGCAGAAACCGATGGATTACCGTACCTGCTGCCATTGGCAGAAGGATATCCCTACATGATAACTTCTAACATAGATGTCGCTGATGGGTTAGTAAATGGATCTATTGGTGTCTTGCGACATATCGAACGTCAGCAGTCAAATGTAGATGACAATTCTGCAGAAGCAGGACCATCGACCAGTACAACTTCGCCAGCAGCTAGAGAAGAAATTGTTACTTTATGGTTCGAGTTTCCAGAAGAAACAATAGGAACCACAGCCAAAGTTAAATGTCGACCTCACGTGCAAAGCAAGCCAAATACTTTGTCTACAAACTGGGTACCAGTTTATAAGAAAATAGTAAACATTACACTAACAAAAACTATAAAATGCAAACGAAAACAGTTTCCTTGCGTTCCTGCTTGTGCCATCGCTATTCACAAGTCACAAGGTGGGACGTTTGCTGTCATTGTTTATAAATACTCATCCAAGCAACCGCAACAGTTGGTGTACGTGGCGCTGAGTCGGGTAACAAGTTTAGAAGGCTTGCATATTATCACCGAAAAAGATGCTCCATTTCGGTTTAAACATGGACGGGAGGGAAACGATTCACAGACAACAAGAGATATCCGTAACGAATACATTCGACTTCGTGGACACACACTTCGAACAATTACTGATAATGCAGTAAAATTCTGTAATGACTCAAACAATGCAGGACAAACTTTAATAACGAACCTTAATTCACAGAGTTTGCCTGCTCACTTTGCAGATATTGAAAAAGACACAGTGATTCCAAGGTCTGATTATTTGATTCTGACTGAAACGTGGATGCGTGACAATTGTGATCCAATTTCAATTGAAAGTTTTGAATGTGTAACCCGGCAGAATAATCGATCAGATTCTGAAACAAATGCAGCAGGTGGAGTGGCAATTTATAGAAACTTATCATCGACATCCACAGCCAAAATTCTCAATGTTGAACTTTCAGATACAACCCGCCTTATTAGAAACACTGGTGACGTTTGCTTAGCAGAAGTTACATGCTTCACCGTTGATACCACGTTCAAAATGGTTCTTGGCGCAGTTTATATTCATCCTGGAGCAAGTATTTCTAACATCAGTGTTCTGCTACATCAAGCACTATTTCCGTATGTTTATAACAGCCAGTATGTACATCCCATCATGGAAGTTGATACCGATATACCAATTCTTCTTTGTGGCGACTTCAACACAAATGTGAAAAATGACGAAACATTCATCAAATTCATGAAAGAAATGTTTAATGTCGATTGTGCATCAGACGTTAATAACTCAACAACATTAGGAGGCACCACCATCGATTTGACTTTTTCAAGACACATTAAACTCGAAACACTCCCTTTCATTTCCTACTTTTCCTATCATCGTCCTATTCTCAACAGAATAACACAGATTGTAAGAAATTAAATATAACACATGTTTAAAAGTTGTAAAACAATTGCTCAACGCACATTTATACTTATATTTATACTTTGTTTTAAAAACTATTAAATTGTAAAAAAAAATTGACATAATTGTATTTATGCGTACAAATAAATCTAAATTGATCAACTTCATTGTGATTTCCAATTACCTCCTTCTCTATATACATACAAATCTATTAAACAAATGAAATTAAAATTTTCTTTTGAAAAATGCTACCATTCCATCAGCATTTTCTTAAGACGTTGTCACGTTCAACTATCGTCAGTAAACCGACTTTACAGACAACCTATTTTTTTTATCTATTTTATTATTTATACCTAGATACCTACGGATACTACCAGCTATCATGTCCTAGGATCTAATCTACGTTACTTAATTGTGACTAAACTGCAGTAAATTAAGTTTTCCATCTAACATAAGCCTCTTTTAATTGTTTGTCTATAAATGTCTACAAACCAAATAGTTTAGATATCTGTTATTGATTACACCCAGCCTTTAAGAAGTGAGTATTGCGTAAGTAATTACTCTCTAGTCTCTTCCAATGGTATTAACGAAGTACGAAACAACCGTTTCTAATATTAATACGCAATTTATTATGCGGTAAGCAAAAAGTATATAATATTTGTATTGAGCTACTATATGAATATTACGGTCCCGATTTGTCCACGAAACCATTTGTTCAACAAACAATCAACCATCGGAATCCTTATTGATAGACATTGGTCACCGTCGCCACCATATTGGAGAGTATACATTCAGATCACGTCTTCCGCCAAAGAGCGACGCCTCGAATGAATAGAAAGAATCATGATGATGGAATTTATGTTCAACGTATGATATACGATGAATATTTTATTTACTGACATCAATTTTATATGCAAAGGGCAGCTCTTTCGCGGTTCTAGAACTTTTAGAAGCTTTACCATGATATAAATCTTGGATTATTAACTGGCTACTTACACATCCTAATCAGAGCGTTTTCTATATTTTTGTAGTTTACAACTCAATTTAACTTGGGATGCCAAGAAAATGATCATGATTTATTATAGATTCATTTCATTGTTATCATACGTTTACAGTGTCAGAAAATAAGCTGCTTTTATTATACATTTGCATGCCAATCTTTTTATAAATAATAATAATAATATAGCTTTAGTTTATGCTATTTAAATATAGATACATATACGACACAAGAAATTGTCAGTAAAGTAAAATAAAATATTTTTATTTTTATGGACTCTCCACGGGTTAAAGCCTCCTTCAATGTATTCGACAATTTTCTGTCCATCTGGCACACTTTTCTTGTTATTCATAAAAAAATCATCAGTAAATACGTCGTTTTAACTACAGGGTCTCTGTCAAATTGATAGAAAGAAAAATAGATTACTTTAAATAAACATAAGTGCAATTTATCAAAACCGATATATTTTTTATAGATAAGGAGATTTTTACCTAGATCAAATTATGTGATTTGACAAGTTTAACCTGAACTTGAACCCGGGAAAAATTAAACGGATTCGTATTATACGTAATATGTCTATGTGTATTTCGCTGTCATCTGTATACTATGACTGATGACATAATTATTAATTAGCTCTATTGTCAGTGTCACATCACGGATGTCAGACCTGTTAATGTAAAACCTCGAACCAAAATCCAACAAAATTATATTGTTTTTATTTAACTAGCTTTAAATGATAATTTCATTAGTAATATTACCATCATCACTATGATTTAAAGCAAAAAAAGGATCGTTATTTAGAAGTGAGAACAACAGATCAATCATGCAAGACTTCACTAGCATATTAAATATAATATTTATAATAAGTGGTGGTGTTTTAACTTTTGTTATTCTATTTATTTTTGCCAAAAGACAGATTACCAGATTTGCTCTTCGTTCAAGACGAGGCCCTCATGTTCCTATTGGGACTGATGCTAAGAAAGTAAATACTCTCTTAATATGTGCTTAGTTATCTATAACATTTTTCACAACCATTTATATTAATTTATAAAGTATTCTTCTAGTGCCTGAAGAAAGAAATAGAGCGAAGGATAGAAGCTGTACCCAGGATTTTGCTTGAGCCTCGACTACTGTGTGGAGATCTTTCCCATTATATTCTGGAGCCCCAGCAACCGTATCACTACCGATTTAGGGCTGTAGATGATGTAAAAAATCTAGGTACTTAATAATTTTAATTAAACCATGGCATATTTGGTAAATCAATAATATGATAAACATGTAAACATGTTTGTGTACATAAAATATGTATCTGTCTACCATTAGATAACATATCTGTTTTAAGTAATATATAGTACTGAAGATCTATATGGTCAAGACTTCTGCTGTAATACTAAAACTTCTTTAACTGTTTGTGTGTTGCATACATGTGTTCAATTTTTATTATTGTATGCACAACCATACCATTAAATAATATAAAATTCAAATAAAATTGAAACCATTCACCATGAATGAATATGTTTTGTGAGCTTTGAATTCACTAAATATAAATTGAATGTGTATTATTTTCCAGAAGAAGAAATTGTTTGTCAAGATCCTAATCTGCGACGACACCCTCGTGAATCACTTCGTGCTTTTTTACTCTCATGTCTGGCCGCCCCACTTGATGGCAGAGGACAAAAGCTGATCCACCAGTTCTGTGATGCATATGAGTCTGCGAGACATCATCCAGCTGAGTTTGGAGAGGAAGAGTATAGGTCTTATAATAGATTACTGCTGAAGTTATTAGATGCGTAAGTTTGTCTATTTAATAATACATGTTAAAGTGATGATGTATGCTAGTAATAATATTTAATCTTGACTCTGAAGAATCAGAATAAAATTACAATATATATTATTTGATATGTGTAATATATATATTCATCTGTTTAAAAATATTACAGTGCTCGATTACTAAAAAGTGTGGGATGTGTGAGTGGAGGGTCTAGGGGAAGTCCTCAAAGACGACCTGCGAGGCTGCTTGACCCCACACGACTTCGGCCTCCACTTGCACATAACAATCAGTACACAGCTCTAGAGGTAGGCCATATTTTACGCTTTTATTTTTTGCCTTTCACTTGCGTTATAGGAAGTTAAATTTATAAAATAATAAAACCAATTATTCTATTGAATTAACTTGGCATATCCAAGTAAGATTGTAATCCAACCTTTAAAATCCTTATGTTTTTGATGACTGTATCATACAAAATATTTAAATACTCAATTGAATAATAATAGATAATGAAAATTAAAAATTTCAAAACAAGCAACTAAATTAATTAAAAACTTTATTATAGAATATGCCAGTAGACTCAAAGATAGAAGAGGAAATAATTCATGTGCCGATTAAGAGTCCCATTGAGACCATTGTGAAGCCCCCAGCTGATGAGACAGCTGTCTGAGGGCGGAACGCCCGCAACGTACAGACTCTGTAGCGGGCGTGAGTGAAGTGAAATGATACTGGTTATAAGGTATTACAGAAAGCATAAAAGGGACAGATGTGATGAAAAGACAAGATGGCTAGTCAAGTGATTAGAGAACAAGTGAAGTTTAAGTGAAAATGAAGGTTTTGTAATATGTAAATTGTGTAGGTGTTTTCTACCCTCTAATTATGTTGACTTTTATTTGAGTAAAGAATCAATATTTGGAGGTTATTATTTATTATTTTATCTGCGATTTAGGAGAATATAATGTGTATGTTTCAAATTTTTTGACAAGTTAATGTTAACTACATTAAAATTTAAAAATCCTGTTTTTAATTAAGATGAAATTTTCTTAATTTTTAATATATGGAATCATTGTATTTGTATTAATAAGGTTTAAATATAATCTAATTAGAAAAAAATTACTGATAAGGTCATGATTTATACCATTTTAAAATGTTCTTACTGAAATTTCCTTTTTTTCAATGTCTCTTTGTCGTTCTGATGACTGAATAAATAAAAATATATGAAATATATAACAATTTTATTAAACTTTCTAGTTTTAATTACACTTACAAATAGGACTAGATATAATATTACAATGAGAGTATATAAATATTTTAATCTTCGAGATTGGGTATCATATTTCCAAAGTGGTGTTCTCTGTAATAAAATTGCACAAGTTATCATTTTAAGCTCCTTAACTGAGTTGATAGTTTTAGCTAGGCAATCAATAGTTACACGCACAAATTTAAATGCAAAAAAACTCATCCGGTGGCTCATATAAACCGTGTGAGGTTTTGGAATTAAAAAATCTGTGTTTTATTTTAGTATTAAGTGAATAAAGAAATAAAATTTAGTAATAATCACACAGACAAAACCTAGTACAGCCTTATAGAAATGTGGATTATTAACATTATTAGTTACCATTAATCGTACCATTGATTTTATTTGTAAACATGTTTATGAATTTGGTAATAAATTTAATCCAAGTTTGGTCAGGAGGTCTGGTAAAGTTATAAGTTAATATCCAATAATTTTGTTTCCCTCATTTATTTTTATTTATAGAATTTACAAGATTTGGAAAGTTTTTTTTACAAATACTAGTAAAAACATTGCGGTTAGACTGATTTAGGTTTTAGTTAAACTTTTAAACATTAGCTAGTAACTTCAAGAGCTTCAAATTATCTCAATCAGAATTCATGCTTGTTATAATGTAATTATTATTCAATACCATTAAACAAAAGCTTATTAAAAAAAATTATATCACCGTTAAAACGCCTCCATGTTTCTCCTTGTTAAGCAATAAAAAATATAGAATTTAAATATAATAAAAATTAGATTTTGAATATAATTAATGAAAAGTATATTTTTCCTGGACTTCCTCTAGTTCTAAACAAATTAGTGCATATATGATCTAAATAAATTCAAATCAGTCCACCGGTATAGGATTTTGACAAAAATATTCACACTAGTTTATAAGATTTTTATTTGTTTGCATTGTAAAAAGTCAAAATTACTGTGTTTAGTTCTTGAATAAAATAAAATGAATTCCACTTACAGTCTAGTCCATATCTTATGGGTGATAAATAGTTCGGAGTGCCTCAAAGCTAATAAGGTCCGTTGACAGGCACGCGACGTACCCTCATCTTGCGTTGCATCACGAGTGTGACATAACCACTCTAACATCTGAAATGTCAATCATTAAATGTAGCTAACAAAGTGAAGTGTTAGCCTAGTGGATTCAGCGTGTGACTCTCAAACTCGGCAGAAGGCTAACCTGTACATAGACTGATCACCTTCTTGCTATTAAAAAAACAAATGATCACGAAACAGATAAAAAAATCTGAGTCGCAGACCTAATAAGGTTTTAGATAGCCACTGATTGTTATTATATAGATATCACAGGTGTATTAAAAATATATATATATATATATTCTAAATGTAGATTTACTGCCAGTTTTCAAATCCAGGGTGTTGAGCGTGAACTGGCAATAAACGCGCAGTAACTTAAATTGCCAAGTATTCCTATATATATATGAGTTTTATAAAATATTTGTAACGAGCTGAAACCTCATGCTCCTCACCACATCTTATTAATTATAATAATGACAAATAATTTAAAAAAAGTTTAACGTGTAGTGTAGCATAATTACGAACGAGGTGCTTTTTCATACCAACAATATTAGTCAAAGGACCACCTATGGAACTTATACGTGAAGGAAAAAAAACATTTCGCAGCTGCGTTAAGTACCTGTAGGGTGCAATCCTTCCATGCATCTCTATTCAGCAGCGAAGCTAAAGCTGCAGGCATTAAAGTTTGTCTATTTGTCCGGCTCGACACCACAGCTTCAATGTCCGGCTCGAAGGACCAAAGGCCGCTGAGCATGATCGACGAAAGCATGAATACGTCGCATAGATAAAGCTTTGACGATTCGTCTTCCATCCTGAAAATTTAAATACACGCTTTTTACGGTTTCTTTTAAATATTTATACCACTTAATGGGGTTTAAATTTATACGTGGTGGATATTGTGAACTTTCAATAATATGACTAAGTGAGACATCGACAATAAGACCTGTAGCCATCATAAATTATTGATGAAAATTGTATTATTATTATGTATAATTAAATATACGAGATATCTCTTGTAATTAACCCTCAGTTTCAGTCTATATGTAGCACCACCACTGTGTGGAATCAGCTTCCCACTGAAGTATTTCCCAACCAATTATAGTTAGGGTCCTTCAAGAAAAGAGCGTACCAATTCTTAAAGGGCCAGCAAAGCACTTACAAGCCTTCTGGCAATGTGAGTGTCCATGGGCGGCAGTATCACTTAACATCAGATGAGCCTCCTGCCCGTTTGCGTACTATTACATTAAAAAAAAGTTTTAGTATCGACTCTGTGGGAATTGATGAATGACACTGACTCCGTTTTTAATACCCGGAGTCACTGTTTCTCACAGTTTCTGAATATTACCCTAAATCACTATTCTATTGTTGTATGCGAGTGGTTAATATAGAGTAAAACTAAAATCCTCTATTATGTAAAGCACCCCGATGACCGAGGAACCAGTGGCGTAACAATAGGGTGGCAGGGCTGGCAAAATGCCACGGGCCACCGACCCAGGAGGGCCCCTGCCCAAGAGATATTATGTTCTATGGATGAATGTGAAGTCTCCAATACGCATTGGGCTAGCGTGGGGACTACAGACCATTCCCTTTCGCCTAAGAGAGGAGGCCTATGGCCATTAGTGGGACATATATAACATATAATTGAGTACGCAAAAATCTCGAAGTTTATTAAAATTGAACTGAGAAGGGATGATTTTTACTGAGGGCCCCATCAAAAGAATTTGCCACGGGCCCCAGATGGTATAGTTACGCCACTGCGAGGAACCATACATTTTGGGTCTTGGAAAAAAATATTTTGGTTGTTTAACAACTGTGTGTAGTGTTTGTGTAATCTTTGAAACTTACTCATTAAAAGCGACTTGAGTACGAGCCATCAGTTGTAAGAACCAGTGTTTTGTTGCAGGGTCATCTTGTCTGGCCACTCTCAGGGCTTCCATTATACATCGAAGGGAATAATCCTGTTCACTGAAAAAAAAAAAAAAGGGTCCGTGTACTTATGTACGCGCGTAAGAAGTTATACTTCTTTGGCATTATTAAAAATAGTTTGGCTTTGTTCCACCTCCAGTTTTTGATGTTTCACAGCGATAAATTGAAAACTCTTTTTTGTATTCAATTTAGTGCAGTTACACTGATTCATCAATTGTTTTTTGTCTCTTTTCCTTATATTTGCTAGATAAAATCAGAAAAATTACATGTTTTGATTAAACAATGTGGTTAATTTTTTAATCAAAACATTACTCGATAATAATAATAATACATACGGATAGTTAACCTCAATTGTATTGAAGCACTTAGGAAGGTTGATGAGCACAGTTTTTTCACAAATATTAATTAGTATTGGTTTAAATATTCAATTTAAATCACTTCTGATTATAATTCAAAAAGCATCGCTAAATTTCTTTGAAACAATAATTAAAACTCCTTTATTTGTTTAAAAGGTAAATGACAAATGTCATTTACCTTCACGCATATTCTATTTCTTTTTACTTGTAGATTGTCTTATTCCTATCTCGCTCGCGCACGCTATAATCACACTCCTAATTTTGTGTCACGGGTGCGCGCGCATTGTAAAATTTCACTCTCATAAATTTTTCATAACGCGCCTAAAGAAGTATAACTTCAAAAAACATTTTTAGGAATAATTTCTCTTAACGAATTGTTATATAGCGTCAATAATACAAATTTCTTTAAAAACAGCTCTAAACCGATATTCATATTTTAAAATGGACAAAAATACTTATTGCGTCCGACATACTACAACCTTTATTATGAGGTCGATAATTAAATATATGTCTAGAAAAAACATTTTTTCTCGATTTCTCCAATATATGAACATACTTTGTAAAACTTAAAAAATAGTATTGTCTTTTATTGACATGTGTGAACATTTATAATAAAACAATTTTTACCGGATTGAAGTTGAAGTACCGGACCGTGACCACGCACGCTGTAAAGCACGCGAAACGTCGGTTAAATTTAAAATTATGGAAAATAATTGTAAATACATAACTTCAATCCGGTAAAAAATTGTTTTATTATAAAACTTAAAATACAAATAGGTCAAATGATTTTTCGTAAATTTGGGGAAAAACCTAAATTTAGTTCTTTTAAATCCAATTTTAACATATATATATATACATATATATTTTATCTTTATTTATAAATTTGCAGAATCTGCTTTTGTGATGGCATCAATATTTCCATATTTGGTTTATATATAGGCAAAAATATTAAAAAAGTCAAACTCACAGTATTTGCTGTGCATGCGCATCAATAGATTCGTTAAGCCACACAAGTGGGGCAGTTGTATCAGTTCTAGCTGCTAAAGCGCTGCGCGTGCGCATAGATTTGCGTAAAAGATCACTTGACACCTCCCACCATCCACTAGGGGATGTCATTCTCTCCAAATACTTTGTGGATAAGGAAAGACTGCATTCTACGTATTCTGGCCATAGCTAAAAAATATATTTTAATCATTATATAAATCTCGCTTAGCGTTAATATCGTTGTGGAAAAATTAATTTAGAATAGTAAATTCAACAGGAAAAATATTATAAGCGCCATTTAAATATTTTAAAAATAATTCCAAAATATCTACTATCAAAAAAATATAAAATATCAAACAGAACAATAAATTATTTCTGAAAAAATATTTTTTATTTCTTTTCAAGAAAACAGAACACTGACAAAATATATTACTTTTTTATTGGTAAAATTTTTCGTAAGTCTAAAAGCTTACCGGGCTATCTTCATTAATCAGCGAGAAATATCCTTCGACAGCTTGGCACAACCAAGTTCTATTCGCTTCGTGTATCCTCTCACATTCCAAACAATCTCTGATCAGTCGCAGTTGATTTACGAAGCAATCTGATTTATGCGAAAAGGCTTCAGCCAAGCAGTTCTCGACTGGATACCGAAGGTTGTTCGGTGGCATTGTACGAGCCAGTATCGGAAGGTATTCAAATATTAGCATTATATCTGTTTCCTAAAAAAAAGTGTGTGCGTGTAACCTTTACGCGCGATTGAAGTAAAACTTCTTTTGTACAAGATTTTTTTTAAAAATTGGTTATTTTATATAAAATAGACCCGATTTTTAAGATAATAATTTGGTATTAATTTACTTCTTCCAAAGCGAAAAAACTGGCCTACTACTATGTATAACAAAAGAAAAGCAAGCTAGGATGGGAACCTTTAGTGGAATTTTTATTTGGTTACGTTACTAGTATGGATTTTCATATTAAATATAAATATACTAATAATAACATAATTACAAGAATCAGTATCAAATAAAACGAATGAATGCCATCCTAAACCAAGAAACTGACTTAAATCAGTTCAAATAATGCACCACTAGATGGCGCTGACGGACTTATAAAACGCGCTATCGTATTATTTTAAGTAGCGGAAACTACATTTAAGCGTTACTTCCGTCAGAAAAAAAAAAAAAAAAATCACCGACCGATGATAACCGTAGAGCACTCCGCGCCGCGCAGCGCCGAGTTAAAGAGCGCATACGGGAAATTAGAAACGAACGCTGGGACCGTCTTACCAGCGAATTGTCACCTTCGCACACGGCCTATTGGTCTCTCGCGCGTTCCCTAAAAACCAACACGGTGGCCTCCATGCCCCCGCTAAAACGTCCAAATCAACCAGACGCATTCGATGACGACGAAAAAGCCGAGTGCTTAGCCGTAAACCTAGTAGAGCAGTGCACGCCTTATCTCGACCATAGCGACCCGGCGCACGTTGAGCACGTGAACTGCCCCTCCCTCCCGAGCCGCTCCCTCCTACGTCGATCGCCGAGGTCAAAACTCTAATCAAGGGTTCACTGCCTCGTAAATCACCAGGTCTCGACGCCATCTCAAACAAGGTCTTACGATGCCTCCCGCCCCATCTGATATGCTTACTAGTGGCCATATTCAATTGCCTTCTCGAAAACTGCACCTTCCCGGCGCAGTGGAAAGAGGCTATTGTAATTGGTATTCACAAACCAGGCAAGCCCCGTAACAATCCCACCAGTTACCGCCCTATCAGCCTTCTCAACACGCTAAGCAAGCTATTCGAGAAGGTAGTTAAAAAGCGCCTCCTAGACTTTGCCCTAGAAAAGGGGCTCATTCCCGATGAGCAGTTTGGCTTTAGACCAGGCCACTCGTGCGTCCACCAAGTCCATCGAATCACGGAGCACATCCTTTCCGGGCTGAATAACAGCACCACGAGACCAAGAGCCACGGGTGCGCTCTTCTTAGACATAGCGAAGGCTTTCGACAAGGTCTGGCACAACGGCTTGGTTTACAAGCTCTACCACCTTCAAGTGCCATTAAGACTCGTGCGTATAATACACGACTTCTTGTCCGACCGCTCTATGCGCTATCGTGTTGAAGGGACGTTATCGTCCCCTAGACCCATCATGGCCGGAGTCCCTCAAGGCTCGGTCCTCTCGCCCCTTCTTTTCACGCTGTTTACAGGCGACATTCCTAGGGCTCCTAACGTGGAACTAGCCCTCTATGCCGATGACACCGCTCTCTATACCACTCACAAGGACAGAGGTGTCATCGTGGATAGACTCCAGACCGCTATCACGTCGCTAGGCGAATGGTTTCGGAAATGGGGCCTCCAAATAAATCCCGAGAAAAGCGTCGCAGTTCTCTTTGCCAGGGGTAACCCCGGTGCGAGCGCTCGTTCTCGGGAAAAATTCCGCCTCAAAAAAGAGGTAACCCTATACGGGCAAGCCATCCCGTGGCAAAAATCCGTCAAATATCTAGGAGTAACGCTCGATAGCGACATGTCTTTCCGTAAGCATGTAGCCGCCGTTCGCAAGAAGGCCTCTTTCGTCCTCTCTCGCCTCTATTTCCTCCTAAACAAAAGGAGTAACATGTCCCTTAGACATAAGGTGACTTTGTACAAGGCCTGCATCCGACCGTGCATGACATACGCTAGCGTAGTATTTGCGCACTGTGCCCCCTCCTACATCCACCGGCTACAGGCGCTTCAGATGCGATTCATGAGAGTTGCGACCGGGGCGCCCCTCTATGTGAGAAACGTCGATCTCCACCACGACCTGGAGCTCCCTACCATAGCCCAATGGATGAAGTTGGCGTCCGCACGCCACTTCGACAAGGCTAAACACCATCCCAACCCTTTGGTGCGTAAAAGCATCAACTATTATCCTTTCCCGCCGGCTAAAAAATGTCATAGGAGGCCCCGACACACACTAACGGATCCGGATGATCCAATTACTGTAGCAAACAATAAATTAAAAGCCGCCCGCGCGGCAAATAATAACAATCAAAGTATTCAGACACAGATTAGGGTTAAAAACCGCCTTCACCGGGGAAGGCGAGGACCTTTTATTTCGCACTTCGCTCACTCCAGTGAGTTTCCGTCCTGCCCTTCAGGCGATTGACCACCCCGTGACGGCCCAAGCCGAGGTTCGAGTCTCACAGGAGACGCCCTTGCGCTAGTCGCGGGAAAAACGCTCATTCTGGTCGAGCTACGCTCGCCAAAACAGCCCGAGCTGAGCTGTCAAGGCCCTAAAGGCCAACAGCGAGATTCCTTTCAAAAAAAAAAAAAAAAAAAAACAGAAAAAATCTGAGTTACTCCCTAGTGCTAGTCGCGCCTAAAGAAGTTTTACTTCAAAAATTCATTTATTTTCAGACCATTGATATACAAAAACCCAAGATGCACAGTCTCGAATAAAAGTAACGCTCGAAAGTGTCCCGAAACACTATTTCTGTCCATAACAGTATATGTTACAAGCATATATTATTGCAAAATCAACCTTACGCGAATTGCTTAAAGTTGTTATTACAACGCAGTGTATACGTACTTAAAGCAATAAAATTTTACGACCGACCGTGGTCGGTAGGACAAGGTATTGAGTGGAGTCGAACATGACTTTTTTATTTACAACTACATAATTTTAAATTTATCCGACTTTTCGGGTGCTTTACAGCGTGAGTGGTCACGGTGACTGAAGACAAAAGGTGTTGGATGTTAAATAGTTGTAAATTTATAATAATACATAACATTAATCCGGTTAAAAAGTTTTTTCTTTAAATTAAAAAAAATGTTAAATTGGCTACCTCCTGACCCACACTTTATATAGCGTAAATATATTTGTCAAAAACTACACAAAAAAGTTCAAGAGTACATAAATTTATTTATAAAAAAAAACACAAATAAATAACATCGACTCCACTTATAGACGCGAGACTATTTGAAATGAGCGCACAATTTAGAATGTTGCGCTCATTTTTTGAGGACGTTTTTTAGACGTTGATTGTGCATCTTGGGTTTTTGTATATCAATGTTTCAGACATATTAAAACCGCGTGAAGTTGAAAGTGGAAAGAGCAGTGTTGGCCTGATTCGACTCTCAACCCTGAAGGGTTGGTTGCAATGAACTTTTCTTTGTATATGAGATTGTAACACACGCTCGTACTCGCTCCACCTGGCACCTCGCTGTAATGACGTCATAGTGATGTACTAACTGCATAAAAAATTCAAGTAATCTTTAAGACCCCTCGACACTCGCGATAGCAGGTATCTATTGATTATTTATTATATCAACGTTTATCAATAAGGGGGTTAAATGTTGGTATCTTTTTTGGTAACAGTTTTATACACATAGGTTAATAAAACAAATGTAATTTTAGTTTATTTTTAACGGTAGTATTTAATTTACTGATCATATTGTCGCGTCAAGGGCGAGAGCGGTAGTCCCACCACACCCCACCGCCTACCGCTAAGCACATTCCACGCAGGTGCCAAGTTGATTTCTGCGTGTAGTACGGTGTAGGAAAACATTGTGAACAGACCGGCATGCCGGAGACCCAACGACGGCGTGACAGGCACCTGATGATGACCTACTTATTGATTCGAAACAGATACAGAAATATGAGCCCAAGACCAAGTGTTGCAGCGTAATTTTTTTGTGATAATACGTTTAGGCCTTTGAATAATAGAATGATTGTAAAAATTAAAAAAAAAATTGTGCGTGTACTAGGTGTACACACGTAAGAAGTGAAACTTCTTTATGATCTTATTTTTCGAAAAATGATCTACTATATGCAACTTTACAGAAATTCGTTAAATTAGATAAAGTTTAACAAAAGGCTTTTATTATCATAGACATGAATACAAATATTTCATTTTACCTTATTACTACGAAGATTATTATAGAATTTCATTAATTGTAATATAATTATTATTATCATTGAAAAACGTGACGATTTGCTACAAAATTTCTCCCATACGTCGATAAAGAAGTTTCATTCCAACGCCGATAAAGAAGTTTGACTTCAAAAAGCAACATGGCGCGTAACCGAAAAATGTGACGCGTAACGAAAAAATGTTACACTAAATTTTTTTCCAACCTCGATAAAGAAGTTTCACTTCAAAAAATATTTTACAAAGAACACAATATTCTTTTACAGATAACATTTCTGTAACCATATTCGTATATACAGATAACCATATTTCTATCGTAAATAAAGACTTTTTTTATGTTTGGTTTAACTCAGGAGCGATTCAGGAGCCTGGTATACATACAGGTCTAAGCCAAGTGAACGTTTTATGGGAAGAAATCGTAGAAATTTGCGGGTTATTTTTGCTGTATTATTGCTTTTTGGAGGATGCTATAAATGGATTTTGGGAGGTCTATAAATTTTATAGATTTGTGTAACTGTTTTGGGATTATTTCGGCGGTGGACAAAATGATAACATTATTATTATTAGAAAATGAGTTGTTCCATAAATATGTGAATATTGAAATACCGTCAAACAGCAAAGACACAATTCTAAGGCCCCAATACTAGAACGTCAATCAAAATTAAATCAATTTTCAGCAGCTGTCAAATATTTTTTTTCTATGACGTTTGACATTGACACTTGAGATACGAATTATGTGGACCTAATGTCTATTTGATTTTTATTTCGCCTGGAATCAACCCTTAAATCTCCTCTTTAAATTAAAAAAAGTAATCAGTGGCGCTGGATTGTATCTGTTTCATGATCATTTGTCAATCTAATAGGTAAGTAGGTACTTCCTGTGCCTGACATAACGCCGTCGACTTTTTGTGTCTCACGATGTCCTTCGCCGTTCGAGCCAATGTTTAATGCGCACATCGAAATAAATTCCATTGGTGCACAGCCGGGGATCGAACCTACGACCTCAGGGATGAGAGTCGCACGCTGAAGCCTTTAGGCCAACGCTGATCTCCTGTTGCGTCGTTAAATCTAGATATATATAAAAACTCACCTCACTACTTCCAGGCTGTATTCCCGCTAACCAGTTGTCCAACAGCCTCTTGGCTGAGGGAACGGTTAACGCCTGTCTCGCGGCTAACTCAACACTTTTGGAGCGCCACAACGTTCCCCGATGCCACACGTCATGCAAGAAAGAGATGTCGAATGGGGGCAGCGGACGAGGGTATTCGCGAGAAAGGGACGACACCATTGATAGAAGGACGGACTCTTGGATGTCGTAGGTCGGTGATGTTATCTGAAATAAATACAATTCAGTGCAATTGTTTATATTGAATTGTCAGAAGCTTCATCTATAGTATAGCGGAAAGATTTGGGTTGTATGTTCGTAAGGAATAAAATCAAAAACTGCTTTACTGATTTTAAAAATTGTATTACCATAATAATTCTACATGATCCCTGAGTAACGTATGCTTTTGTTTGACAGGGTGAAAACGGGCAGGAGGCTCACCTGATGTTAAATGATGCCAAACAAATTCATAAAAGGCGGGCTCGCGAGTGCGTTGCCCGCCTTTTATGAATTTGTACCGTCGTTGCAATAAACGAATAAAATGATTAAAAACATTGAATGTATGTACGTACTACGTACTACATAATGTAAACTAAGGATAAAATATTAACTATAGCTTTAAATTTTAACTTAATAGACAAAATTACTGTAAAGAATATTTTGGTAACTCAGATTGCTCATTGCACACATAAATACTCGTGGAACTATATGTAGTCTTGTATTTAGTTTTTTTAAGTACTTGTACTCCTAAGTAGTAAGTCTAGGTCTGTCTTTTACCGAGTACAAACTACAACGGTGAACAGACGGCTCACGGCACTGAGCGTTAGTAAAGATGAAAAGAATAAAGATAAGAAGTAAGAACTAAGAAGTCTTATTTCTTAACTTAAGGGTATAGAGATTAGAGATAAATAGACTATAGAGTAATGGTAGGGGAGCCCACGATGCTAAATGGGGATTTACTCGAGCGTCGTAGAGACCTATTGGGATGCAAAGCTTAGATAATAAGAAGAAAAAAATGTTATATGATAAATTCCTTTTCATCGGTGGGGGAAGCGGCTATAGATAGTTAAATATGTAAAAAAAACTGTTGCATGGACATCCTCGAGCGCGTCAGATATTGATAGCATCTATGCCCTACGTATTTTTAATAATGTACGTATGTTAATCTGATCGTTTGCATGATGCGGGTGGTTGTATTTAAGGGTTGAAAATGAAAAAAAAAAAATTATCGAGCGCGTCAGATTTTCTAAGGGAGTGTTAAGTGCACCAAAAAAAGCTCTCATTTACTAATCTGACGATTTCGATGGGACGCAAACCCACAGCCATTTTCGTAATTTGCAAAAAAAATCGCAATTTTGAAATACTCAAGCGCGTCAGATTAAGATATATGTGGTTCATCTTTATGTTCTAAACGTACTGTCTCATAATCTGACGATTATCTAGAGGGATTCGCCTGATCTGACAAAAAAATTTAGAAAAACGGTTCACCTAAAGGGCCATCCCTGCAACTTCCCGCTAATTCCATTCCTGGGTGCTTAAAATTGATATTTTGAGCTCGCTGAGTTCAAAGAAATAACATTTCTATGCATTTGAGCTCTCCCAGCTCGAAAGTCTGATAGAAGTTTCATAGAACACTATTTTTGGAATTTTCAAACCGCAATAACTTTTGAATGGATCAAGCAATTTTCACGCGGTTGGCGGCATTCGACGCAGTTTTATCATCCTCATAAGTAATTTTGTAAATATGTAAAAAAAACTGTTGCATGGACATCCTCGAGCGCGTCAGATATTGATAGCATCTATGCCCTACGTATTTTTAATAATGTACGTATGTTAATCTGATCGTTTGCATGATGCGGGTGGTTGTATTTAAGGGTTGAAAATGAAAAAAAAAAAAATTATCGAGCGCGTCAGATTTTCTAAGGGAGTGTTAAGTGCACCAAAATAAATCTGACGATTTCGATGGGACGCAAACCCACAGCCATTTTCGTAATTTGCAAAAAAAAATCGCAATTTTGAAATACTCAAGCGCGTCAGATTAAGATATATGTGGTTCATCTTTATGTTCTAAACGTACTGTCTCATAATCTGACGATTATCTAGAGGGATTCGCCTGATCTGACAAAAAAATTTAGAAAAACGGTTCACCTAAAGGGCCATCCCTGCAACTTCCCGCTAATTCCATTCCTGGGTGCTTAAAATTGATATTTTGAGCTCGCTGAGTTCAAAGAAATAACATTTCTATGCATTTGAGCTCTCCCAGCTCGAAAGTCTGATAGAAGTTTCATAGAACACTATTTTTGGAATTTTCAAACCGCAATAACTTTTGAATGGATCAAGCAATTTTCACGCGGTTGGCGGCATTCGACGCAGTTTTATCATCCTCATAAGTAATTTTGCAATTTTAATTGATCGAACCACAAATTTCGGAGTAATCCCGAATAAACACTTTTTCGGGTTTCTTTCGTTGACGATATCTCTCGAACGAATCAACCGCTTTTGACCAGCTTAGTGGCGATCAACGTGGTTTTTCAAGCTCAAAGGCGGATTTTTGAAGTTGATCGATAAAGAAACTACTTTAAAAAAAAAAAAACTTATTTTTTTAAGATTTTTCAAAATTTCTCAAAATCTATCGGTCCGAATCGGTTCAAATTCACAGGAAATGTAATTTTGAGGGAAATATTTAGAACGCCGTTTAGTAGATTCCGATCGGTTTAAGGAAATATAGGCATCACGCAGCTGCACGCATTTAACTTTATCGACGAATTTTTGTTATTTCGGCTTGCGGAAATCGTCAGATTATATATTTTTCATTATTCTTGAATTATTTCCTTCAAAATAAAAAAAAATTAGCTACGCTCGAGAATGTCGAGATGACGTTTTTTTTTACAACTTTGTTGCCCTCCCCTTTTTTTCCGTCACTCTCAAATTGTCAGATTAGTGGAATATACACTTTTTAGGATGTAATTAACTCACCCTACCTTAATCTGATGCGCTCGGGAATTTCTGATGGTCAATTTTTTTTTACTAATCTGATCCTGTCTCCTTCACAGGCGGCCTTATATATGGACCTCATGTTTTGTGGAGGTACTTAACCGAGTACAAGCTATCCCCCTGTATATTAATCTGCCGCGCTTTAGTAAATCCCGAAATCCCCTCTTGGGCTCCCCTACCATAATATTAGAGGTGAGGCGTATATCAAATCACAGGTTTTATTACTAGGTTTCGCTCGAGACTTGTAAATACTAAGTCCCACATTTGAGCACTAAGGCGTTTCACGAAAACCCTTGCAAGCGCTAAATAAATTATACCTTATGCGACACTACTCACGGCAGCTATTTCAATCCACAACACGAAAAACTGAAGCGCGAGACGCGTTCTTTTACTAATGTGTGAGTGAAACCCTTGCAAGCGCCAAATAAATTTCTACCTTATGCTATACTAATTACGGCAGCTATTTCAATCCACAACACGAAATACTCTGAAGCGCGAGACGCGTTCTTTTACTAATGTGTGAATGAAACCCTTGCAAGCGCCAAATAAATTTCTACCTTATGCCACACAACTTACGTCAGCTATTTCAATCCACAACACGAAATACTCTGAAGCGCGAGACGCGTTCTTTTACTAATGTGTGAATGAAACCCTTGCAAGCGCCAAATAAATTTCTACCTTATGCCACACAACTTACGGCAGCTATTTCAATCCACAACACGAAATACTCTGAAGCGCGAGACGCGTTCTTTTTACTAATGTGTGAGTGAAACCCTTTCAAGCGCCAAATAAATTTCTACCTTATGACACACAACTTACGGCACCTATTTCAATCCACAACACGAAATACTCTGAAGCGCGAGACGCGTTCTTATACTAATGTGTGAGTGAAACCCTTTCAAGCGCCAAATAAATTTCTACCTTATGACACACAACTTACGGCACCTATTTCAATCCACAACACGAAATACTCTGAAGCGCGAGACGCGTTCTTATACTAATGTGTGAGTGAAACCCTTTCAAGCGCCAAATAAATTTCTACCTTATGACACACAACTTACGGCACCTATTTCAATCCACAACACGAAATACTCTGAAGCGCGAGACGCGTTCTTATACTAATGTGTGAGTGAAACCCTTTCAAGCGCCAAATAAATTTCTACCTTATGCTATACTAATTACGGTAGCTATTTCAATCCACAACACGAAATACTCTGAAGCGCGAGACGCGTTCTTTTACTAATGTGTGAATGAAACCCTTGCAAGCGCCAAATAAATTTCTACCTTATGCCATACTAATTACGGCAGCTATTTCTATCCACAACAGGAAATGTGTGTTAGTGTAGGTAATACTAATATCTAGTCACGAAATAATAGACCTTATGAGAAAAGTTTTAAGCATCTTTAAGCATTGACAGATTTTAATTTTCATGTTTAGACAAAAAGGGAAAGAAAGTTCTCTTTCTCAGTTTCACACTGAAGAATGTCTAATTTATTAGGTGTTAATTTATATGCAATAATTGCGGCGCGCATTGTTTAATGTTTTAAATTAATTGGTAAATTCGAGTAAGCCTCTAGCTCTAGAATAATTATAATAAATTAATAATAGCATTGTACTAATAGTGAATAAAAAAATTTAACAATAGTAAATAAATTTAGTGTAAAAAGTTATTATAAAGTTTAAGTGTGTACTGGATATTGTGAATATAATATAAAAAAATTAATAACTTTCTAACTTTTGAAATATATAAACTATTCTACGGTGGGAGATTTGGATACATGTAAATATTTTATATATTTGTTCATTACATTATGGCGCCAAAAAAGAGCGTGGCTTGGGATCATTTTGAAGACAAGGGCAATGACAAAGCTCAATGCAAGTATTGCAAAATAGATATCTCATACAAGTCCTCAGTCTCCAATTTAACAAAACACATATATAGAAAACATGGCACTATACAGTTAGTACCCAGGCAAGGCGTTTCAGCTACTGCTGGTATGACAGAGAGGCAGGCTGCAGCTTCTGTTACTGATGCAGTAACGCAACTGCAAGGTAATCCCGTCTCAGTTTCATATCCTAATGCAGCACCTATAATATTATCAAGGAATTTAATGACGTCCTATTTACGTCAAGACTGCTCAAAAATTAAAAAAGATATAGATCGACACATATTAAATCTATTTGTTTACGATTTACAACCATTTTCTATAGTGGAAGACAGGGGGTTTCGGGAACTTATTGCGTTTGCCTTTCCTAATTATATTTTACCCACCAGGAAATTTTTTTCAAATAATCTGCTGCCTGCTTTATATGAAGTCACCAAAACTGAGATGAAGGAATTGCTAAGTATGGAAATGGTTTCCATATGTTTATCTACCGATATGTGGACGTCTCGTAATGGTGACTGGTTTTTGGGCGTTACCGGACATTTTATTGATCGTAACATGGTCTTGCGATCGATTCTTTTAGAATGTTGTGCGTTAAGTGGAACGTCGCACAGGGCTTCCGATTTAGCTGAAGAGTTATCGCGCATCGTTCAGGAATGGGGTCTAGAACGTAAAATTATTCTAGCAGTGTCAGACAATGGGTCCAATATTAAATGTGCTATAGAGAAATGTTTGGGTTGGAAACATTTCAATTGCTATGCGCATTGCATTAATTTAGTAGTTACTAAGGCTTTAGAAAATAATAGTACGATCTCTAATATCATACAAAATGCAAAAAACGTTGTCTCACATTTTAAAAAAAGTACGGTTGCGTGGGAAAAATTAAAACGCTACTTAGAACAAGCTGGTAAACCGATAATGAGGCCTCTTCAAGATGTTCCTACCAGGTGGAACTCTACATACTATATGTTAGAGCGCTTATTACTATTGAAAGGGGAACTTAATAGCGCAATTTCAAATTTGAACACAAATATTCCAGTATTGTCAGCGAACTATTGGTCTATCATAGAAAAGCTGGTCCTAGTTTTAAAGCCCTCTGAGGAAGTGACAAAAGAGATAAGCGGCGATAGATATGTGACTGGCAGTTCGGTTATCCCCATAACTATAGCTTTAAAATCGGCGTTAGTTACTATACTAGATTCTTCCGAGCCTTTACCAGATGACGTAGAAATGGTGAGGCAGGATATTCTAAATGGACTACAAACCCGTTTTTCTTCGCTACAATATAGCCGCACTTTTACGTCGTGCATGTTTCTAGACCCTCGGTACAAACTCTATTTCGAAAACGAAAGTACAGCAGAATCAACAAAAAAACATGTAATTGGATTAATAACATCATTAATTTTAGAGGAAGCAACAGAACCAGAACAGAATATTTCAGAATCATCTTCTGTATCCGGATCGGAAAACACCATTTGGGCCCACTATTACAAAAAAATGCAAAATATTAGGCCCAGTGGTACCGCATTTTCTAGAGCTGTGGTTGAAGTGCAACGATACCTAGACGATACAGTAATACCAAAATCTCATTCGCCTTTAGAATGGTGGAAGGCTAACAAGAACTCATACCCACATTTGGCAATACTTGCACGGAACAGATTAAATTCTCTGGCAACGAGTGTGCCCTGTGAAAGATTATTTTCTGCCGCAGGAAATATTTTAAGTGACCGTAGGACTCGTCTTGGAGTAAGGAAAATTAAACAATTACTTTTCTTACAACAGAATTTAAAAAATAAAGCTTAACTAGAAGAAATATTGTACAAAGTTGTAAATACTGTATATATACCTCCATTTATTATGTAATTGTGTTTAAGTGTCATTATAATTTAAGAACATTATACGATTAATTATATGATTTAATAATAGGTGTTTTATAAGTAAGTAAACTAAGTATTATTAAATTTTTAAAATATTTGTTTTTAAAGTCAGTCCTAAGCCTGCAAAACTATGAAAGTAAGTTTTCAATGAGAGCATTTAATTTTATTTAAACGATAACAATTATATTTAGCTTTTCATTTCGGTTAAAAGACATCTTATCATTTGTCACAAATTCTACCATCGAAAAAAATTTACTGTTTATAAAGTTATGTGTTTATTAGCAGTATATAAGTATGTGTAATACATGTGTAGTTTACTTATACAATTTCATAAAATATATTCAATTTAAATTTGTAAAATACTCTTTTTCGTTTTTACCATAATTTGAAAGATTACCTAAATGTCGAGTCAACTTATTACAATATGATAATGCAGTAGTATGACAACTCTGATCTGACTTATGTGAGTAATTTTAATATAGCGTATTCTTAATTTTAGATATAATAATTAATATAAAGAATAAACGTTTACGTTAAAGCTTAATGCCATTATTTATCATTCCCTAAAAAATCTGCCAATTCTGAACACATTAAAAATACCCATACTGCATTTTTAATCTATGGTAAAAAAAGGTCTTTATTTATATTAATTTCACTATTAAATGCTCAGTGAATGTTCTGTGCTCTGTGGAACAATAGCATATTCAAAGAGTACTTAACTAATTCCTATATTTTGGTGATACAGTCCCATATTACTAAATACTCGTGGAACTAGTATTTGTAACTAGTTTTTTTAAATACTTGTACTCCTAAGACTTGGTCTGTCTTTTACCGAGTACGACTCACCTCTACATAATATAAGCTCTACCAAAGCAGAGCGTCAAAAATTGAGTTAGACTCATTTGAGTGTTCCCCTCCACGGAAATCTTTAGTAAAAGGCGAAAGATTTATACGTTTTGAAGGGAAACCAGAGTAACGATTATTAATTGTACCGAGATATTATACCACTCGATCGAGCTAAACGATAGCGCGTTTTAATAAACGTTTATATTACCACAGCGCCATCTAGTGGTACTATTAAGAGTCTAATTTCTCATATTGATTGTCTTTTCTTCAAGGACCCTAAGTCGAATTGGTTCGGAAATATTTCAGTGGCTATATTTATTTCCAAATTTAAAGTGTCCAGCTTCTTGAAGCCGTCACAGGCCGTAGTATACCTTAAGGCGATTTTGATGCATTATAGCATAATCTGAATACCAGTCAAGTATGAATATACCTCGTGAACCAAGTGTCTAATGCTGACAATCATTAAATCTAATTATATAAGCTTAATTTTTTTTTTCGAGCAGTGTTGGCCTATTGGCATTGGTGTGCAACTCATCCCTGAGGTCGTAGGTTCGAAATGTGCATCAATAGACTGTTCAATATGCACATTGCACATATAACACTCGCTCATGTAAGGAAGAAAATATCGTGAGGAAAGCGGTAAGCTTTAGACCCGAAAAGTCGAAGGCCTGTGTCACAGAAGGGTGATCACCTACTTGACTATTTAAAAAATTATCACGAAAGAGATATAGATATGACAGAAGTCTATCATGCTAGGCCATTGATTTGTTGATACTGAACTTTTTGAAGTTATACTTCTTTTGGCGCGATGGAGAAAAATTATGAGAGTGAATTTTTACGATGCACGCGCAAACCGACACCTAAATTCTACATCGTAAAGTTAGTTCCAGGTGGCATGAAAATCGATAATAACTATGTTCAAGTTGTATATTCTAGTATTTTTATATTTAGAACACGTGTTTCGTAACAGTACAATTAAACGGTGTGAATAAATATTATTTTGGTGTTTTTATTAAATCAATTTCATATACGACGGTGATAGTATTTACTTATAATTTACTAATAATTTATTATTTATTAGTATATCTATATATATTGAATATTAGTGATAAAACTTCCTCGGAGTATTCATATATGTATTTACATATTCCAAGTCGAACAAAGGAAATAAGCTATTTTAATTCTTCTGTGAGTGTGTATGTCACTGAACTTCTCTCAAACGACTGGACCGATTTTGATGAAATTTTTTGTGTGTGTTCAAGGGGATCTGGGAATTGTTTAGATTCACAAATCAGCCCGGCAGATGGCACTGCAGTCGGTACTTTCATACTTTGCTTAATATCCTAATCGCTTTAAATATCATGCAGGACAACGTCTGTGGGGTCCACTAGTATATTTATAAAATATCGATTTTTTAGACATTTACCTGCTTCCTGACACAATCGGACATTCCCCTTAACACGCTATGCGGTGGCAGGTTACTTAAACCTAGGGGTTCCCGTCCTTCAATCATGTAGACTCCACTTCTGAATCCCCTGACTTCTCTTTCTATTAATTTTCCCACGAAATATTCCACTCCAGTTAGAGAGGAGTTTGATTTAAATAACTCCGGCCACACTTCACCTAAAAAAAGCAGTGTCAAAAGATAAATTGAATTTTTGAAGTAAATTTTTAAGAAAACGTCACGAAGAGAGTGAGAAGGGCACATTACCTTATAGAAATTATATTTTTAAAATAAAAATTTCGTAAAGAGAATTTATGAAATATTAGTATTTTATATTTTATGCAAAATCTCAAATGACTAATTGTAAATTAAAATTATGTGTTTTTACTACCGAAGAAATAAATAAATTAAATTTATAATTTTTATTAATTTTCGACCCTTAATATTTTAATGAGAATTAAATTCCTAACATATCTTCCTTTTCCCCGCCTCTAAGGCACTTGTCTCACCGGCAACGATTAACGTGTAACGAGTAGAGCTAGAACCAGAAACGAGTTAGCGAGACGCGGGGAGCGAGTGCGTAGTTCCAAAATTTGTGTAGCTCGGCTATAAAACGTTTTCTTTAAACGAGATCTCAACGTAGTGTATATTTTATTTTTATTATCGAAGAAATAAATTTAAAAAATTAATTAATAATTTGTTTGAATTTTCGACACTTAAATATTTTAATGACAATTAAATTCCTAACATAATATCTTCCTTTTTACCTCCCTCTAAGTACCGGAAATCTAAAGTTTTAGATTTGTATAAATATAAACAAGACTTAAAACTTAGTTTTCCAAAGAAGTTTTACTTCTTCTTTGTACGCACGCACTTTTTTATTCTATAATAATTAATTATTTACTTTACGTCCAAGTTACAATTTTTTTTACGTAAGAATGACGTTGCCATAAACAATTAATAAATGATCCAATTAAAATTATTTAAAACATTGCATGTATGATGTAAGTACTAAGTACATATAAACTAAAGTTAAAAAACTTAAAATATTAACTAAAGCTTTAAATTTTAACCTAATAATAATAATAATAATAATAATAATTTTTATTAATCAGACAAATACAGTCCATTGATTGATTACCTAGTAACAATAGTTTCTTAAGATCTATGTTAGAGAATTAGTTAAAATAAGGAAAAAGTAGTTAAATAAAAAATAAAAAACTATCAGGTACAAAGCCCTGCGGAGATGTCGGAGCAGTGTCGTAAATAGGGGCACTCCATTCTTTCGACTATCATCCGTAAGATGTTGTAATAGACAAACTTAAAGTGAAAATGAAAATGAAAAGATTAAAGTTTGTGATTATGATATTTTAAATTTTGAGTATTTAAATTTTAAACTATAGATATTATCATATTACCTATAACATTTATTTTAATTACATATCTAGTACTAAGTAATAAAGGGATGTGAAAAAATTATCGATTAAAATCGATTTTTTTACGCGAAAGGTTATACATGCACACACTTTTATTAGGTTATCTATTCTAACTCATTTTTTGACGCTCTGCTATTGTAAAGCTTATAAAATTATAATTTATAATAGTTATCGCTAGGGATGTGACAATTGGCATAAAAAATCGATTTTTTATTATGCGATTTTTTTTCTAATTTGTGAAAATCAATCATAGTCGATTTTTTATCTGCCACCTCCCGACTTTATGCCTGGTCTTTTATAGCCCGGACCTCGAACTACGATACACAACGATGTTTACAATGCGATACATTGAATCCGATTCTTTGAAGATGTATTGATATACTCGATGCATTGATGTTTTTTTTTGTAAAACATCGAAAGGATGATAAAACCAGTTAATTTTACAAAAACTCAAGTTGGAATGGAGCACTATAATTTAAAAGTAAAATAAATTTATTCAGCAGCACAAGACTACATACAATTAAAAAGACATCAAAAATACTGCAATGTGCTACTGAAAAGGCTCAGCATTTATCAAATTTCACCTAAAATCTATCAAAACGGGATTATGTTAATTTCGATTTTGATTATTCTTAAACGTTAATTTGTGTTTATAATTTCTATTGTTTATTTTTAACTAAAAAAACCATGAAAAATAAAATATTTATATGGGTGTTTATTTTGAAATTAGATCACAAATTAGAAAAAAAATCGATTAATAAAAAATCGATTTTTTATGCCAATTGTCACATCCCTAGTAATAACTATTATAATTTATAATTTTATAAGCTCTACAATAGCAGAGCGTCAAAAAATGAGTTAGAATAGATAACCTAATAAAAGTGTGTGCATGTATAACCTTTAAGCGCAATTGAAGTAAACATTTTAGAAGTTAACGGCTGTTGACGTAACCGATATATTATATCACTCGAACGAGCTAAATCCTTTTGTAAAACGTAAATCGTCACGATGCGGGGCGGGGATTGAATTAGGCGTTTTGTTAATATTATTTTCGACTTTCCATTACATAATGGTACGTTTTAGGTATAAATAGTCACTAGGTGGTCACGAAACGTTTTACTATATTGGGTACAGAAAAACGTTACGGCGCGTTACGTAATACTTCAACACTGTTTGGAGATTTGTTAAAATATTTAAAAAAATATATATTATATATTAATTGTATATATTTATTATTTGGTAGCACAATGTTGTTCTACCTATTGTATACCAAGCGATAACTTTAAAAATTCCAAGAAATTACTCAAGAGAATCATTCATAAACACATTACTTACAAGGTATATAGTCAAGAACATCCTCGGGCCTGCGCATTGCATCAGCAGGGGTCTTGCAATACGACGGTGGCAGTTTGACTGTTCGTATGTAAATCTAAAAACAAAAATAATACTAAATTTTTTCTCTCAATTCAAATCTTTATATATATAATTCTTCTGTGAGTGTGTATGTCACTGAACTTCTCTCAACCTCTTGATGAAATTTTTTGTGTGTGTTCAAGGGTCTGGGAGGTAGATTCACAAATCAGCGGCTCCTGCATCGGTACTTTCATTCTTTGCTTAATATCCTAATCGCTTTAAATATCATGCAGGACAACGTCTGTGGGGTCCACTAGTATACTATAATCATGACCAATTAGTATTATAATAGGTTTAGGGTAGTAGAAAAAGATAAACACGGAGGGTGATTGATGACAAATATTGTATGGCAATCAAGGTTTATAACAAAAACTTGGCGATGAAAAAGAGTCGCGGAGAGTTTATTGCCAGTTCTTCTCTTCCGTTCTACGCCATTGATTCGAGAACTGGCAGTAAATGGAAAATTAGAAGCATTTAATGTATATTTCCTTTTTTTGACGTTCATAAGTGTACATTGTGTAACCTACATGAATAAATGATTTTTGTTTGTTTGTTTGTTTATAATAATTTACCAAAAACATTCAATCTTCCTATTAGAATTTATAAAAATCGACTTCATATGCAAAAAATATTATTGTATTAAAGATTATTTGGGTGAAACATTATAATTATATAATTAGTATTATTTTGATAATTTAATAATGTGATGATGTATATATGTGATAAATTAAAGAATTAATTATATCCAAGTCTACACTTTAATAATGTACGACAAATTTGCACGCCATTATAGATTGTACCACCGTCATATTTTGGCAATTAAATATATTGTTATTTTAATTATTAATTTGCATTTTTTGCAAGGGGTACGTTATCTTTAATAATTCATTTAGGGTTAAGTTATTAATTTTTAAGTTATTTGAATTGTTTTTCTTTTTTTAGCTTTGGGAAATGCCCTCAAATAAAATGTCCAAGTATAGAGTAAAAATTAACATATAAAAAGGGTTTGGTCGGATAAACAAAAAATCCTGGCAAGTTAACTTTAAGATTTAGTTTATTTCATTGCAGTTATTGTATTGTAGTATATTTCTTGTTTTTGGTTTCTTTTATAAGTAGCCTGTACTTATTTTGTTTTATTTAATTAACCCATAATAGTAGATTCAATGTTATCAAAACTTTACAGTCGTGCAAACTCCATTGAATAGAAATCTTGTGTACAAACGAATTGTATTGCCAAATATTATATATTAGACAATTCATGATACACATAGCATAAGAACTTCGGAAATTACAACTATTGCATACAATTATCCCAAAGCCTCTGAGTTTAACAGTAACTGTCCGAATAATCAAATGAAGAGCTTAGAAAAGCTCAAACCAGCATGACGAGCATACGAACAGGCTTCCACTTTGTCATTTTCAGCGTGAGATGAAATACTCTCTGTGATTAACAGCTGATATTAATGACAATATTTTCGATATTAGTACTTTTTCAAACTTTTTTGGGTTAGAAGAAATTGCTCGTAGAAGTAAAACATCTGGCAACTTATTTTTATACAAATTAAACAGATACAAACGGGGGCCTCATAGCCTAGCGGTCTTATTAAGTGGCAGCTAGGTGAGGGGTACCGGGTTCGATTCCCGGTTCGAGGGCAAGTTTTAATTTAATTTAAATTTGTTCTCGGCCTTTGGGAGGGTTGTGCGGTACCGGGCGAGTGCTTAAACCGTACATGGAGGACACGGTCGAATTTCTAAAGACAAGCACGAATTATTAAAAATCCTATACCTGACGCTGGCTAATGCACAAATCGTGCCAGAGCCACTAAAAAAAAAAAAAAAGGGTGCGTGTACTTATGTACCGCGTAAGAAGTTATACTTCTTTGGCATTATTAAAAATAGTTTTTGATTGCTGCAAATAATTAATTACAATTAAATATCAAAACTGGAAAAGGAGTCATTAAAGTCAATAAAGTTCAGTACATTTGAAAAATTAATTAAATAAATATTTATTATTATTCTCTACTTAAACAAATAAAACACTATTTATCTTTAAAACATTTTCATTTCATTATACTATTTATTTTTAATGATCTGTCTTCTCAGAATTTCGGTTTGTAATTTTTAATTAATCATTACTTGGTTGTGCATCTACGAGGCTTCTCCAAAATGCTTTCTGCAACAAATAAGAGAATATTAACTTCAGCTCTGTCCATGCAAAAGTTAAAATTTTGTATAATTCATATTATAAAATTTTTAACACATTTATATTATTATAGTTATATAAATGTGTTAATAATATAATTTGTAGCACATGCTACAGACCTGAATAACAACTTTCTTTTATTCTATTTAGAGATAGAGATAATTTAAATATAATATCGGTGTCTTCCTTGTAGGTTTCTTTGGAGTTGTTTGGGGATTCTTGTTGTTCAGTTCGACATGATTTTTCTTTAACCTTTCTTTAATCCTACAAAATAATGAAATTGTTAAGTTATGTTGTCACTGTTTGCACACCTTTGTTTGGCTTTTTTAGTATTCAAGTTATGTCAAAACTGATTTATTACCTTGTCATTGTTGGCTTTATTTGCTTTTGGGATATCAATTGTTTCCAAAATGATTTAATTTGTAATATCCTGAAATATATAAATAACATCTATTAATTTAAGTATCATGGTGAGTGGTCACTCAGGTATTAAAGGTGTATTATACCCACTGTCCAAAAAGTGGGAATGGGCTCACTTCTGGCAGGACAGAGTTTCGGTACTACAAGTGCAACATGGATGTTTTGAGGTATTACAATATCTCTAACTACCCTGTAGGGGAATAAATAATGTTGTAAGCATATGCCTATGCTTGAAAGGTTGAACCTTGAACATACTTATTATAATTACATTCCTACTCGACACCTACAACAAATTCATTGAAATCTACTTCAAACCGTTGCGGTATCATCTCTCCATATCCATTGTGTCTCGAGAAGGTGATGGTGGCTTTGTTCCACCTCCAGTTTTTCATGTTTCACGGCGAAAGCTATCATTAGTGCACTTCACTGATTCATCAATTGTTTTTTGTCTCTTGTCCATATATTTGCTAGATTAAATCTGAAAAATTACATGTTTTGATTAAATAATGTGGTCATTTTTTTGAGTGCAGGTACTTATTAAAATGTTTACTTCTCTGTTATATCGATCCAAGCCTTCATTTTCTCCTTATTAGTATTGTGCTTAAATCTTTGTTCTCATTGATATTAGGGTCGTAGAATATTTCTAAAAAGTTGCTGTAACAAACGCAATAAACAAAACAATGAATAATGGTTCATGTTTCAGTTTTAATCACTACTCGATAATACTACGGATAGTTAACCTCAATTGTATTGAAGCACTCAGGAAGGTTGGCACAGTTTTTTCACAAATATTTTATCATATTAATTAGTATTGATTTAGATAATCAATTCGTATAATGAAAATAATAGGTATATAATTATTTATTTTAAACAATAATTAAAACTCCTATATTTGTTTAAAAGGTAAATGTCATTGTCAGATGTCATGGTCATTCAAAATCTGTTAAGCTGCTAAGCTAAGAATATGCGTGAAGTTAGCTTCACCATATTCTTTTCTTTTACTTGTAGATTGTCTTATTCCCATCTCGCCCACCTATATCACACTGCCAATTTTGTGTCATAGGTGCGCGCGCACTAAAATTTCACTCTCATCAATTTTTCATAACGCGCCTAAAGAAGTACAACTTCAATAAAAATAAAATTGATAAAAACGGCCCTAGGTGCAACAAACAAATCATATAAAGTTTTTATACCTTATTGCTATTAACATACATATAACATTTGGAAAACAGCTTTAAGTAAAAATCTTACCTCAGGAATATCCTTTAATTTGAAATCTTCAATTTTGTAGTTAGCAAGGGCATGACAAGCAGCTTCACATACGGGCGAAATGCCTTCAGCAAGATACACCCATAATCGCTTAGCAGCATCACTAACTAACTTATCGTATTCTGGCGTAGAAACACGTAAAGCGGGAATTTCGGCTAGAAGCTTGCACAGGCTGAAAGTAATGAAGAATATAAATAAAACCTTTTTGCACAGATAAAAGCAATTTACACGGTGTTTAGAATAAGGCAATAGTAATGGGGAAGTCTATCTTGTCAACTTGACAGAGCACTATAATAATGAAATGTTGCCAAATTAACGTCATCTATTGCGCGAAGTTAGAATTTAAAATGTTCCGCTGTATTTTCACAACAATAACTTGAATAATTTATTATTGTTTGTAACACAATAAATATTTACAGGGGTCTAGAGAGAATTCTAAAAAAAACAAACAAACATTTCGGCTTAGATATAATTAGAAGAATTGTTGTGTGCTAAAACAATTTTAGTGCAAATAAAAGATCATATAAACAAAGTGTCGACCTATTAAGAGAAACTGTAAAAATATAATTCTTATGTTCAGAAATAGTAGAATTACACTTTGAAATATTTTAAATGTTATTCTAATTATACGTTCACTTCAATATTATAAAATGTATATAAAAATAACATTTGCCGTTATCGTGCTCATGAAGTACATGCTTAATTGTACCGCTCGCTAGATGGCGCCATGGTGCTATAAACGTATAGTAAAACGCGCTATCGTTTAGCTCGATCAAGTGGTATAGTATCTCGGTACAGTTGAACTTCTTTACTCTGGTTTCCCTTCAAAACGTATAAATCTTTCGCCTTTTACTAAAGATTTCCGTGGAGGGGAACACTCAAATGAGTCTAACTCAATTTTTGACGCTCTGCTTCGGTAGAGCTTATAAACTATAAAGTATAAACAATTAAAAAAAAAAGATATATATTTTATATAAAATATATTATAAATTATAATAAAATAGTTTAAACAACCTTGTATGATATGTGAGAGAAGAAATAAAGATTAAAAAAAAAATCTCACTATTTATATTAATTGTTCCTCAGTAGTTTATACTTTATAAATATAGTAATATTTCTTGATATCTGAAAGCACGTTGTTAATTTCCTGTTTATATTATTTCGTATTGGCGAAAAACTAAGCCAAATTGTGAACCTGCAAGACTAACAATTTCTTTTTATCGCAGTATGAATTAATAGACAGTCGCAGAAAAAAGTCGTCTTCAAGCGACTATTTCCATACCTAACTTGCACAGCAGGTCTCGTGTCCCTCCCAAGTCTGGGTTCCAGAGCACGCCAAGTTCCAGGTGGTGCCACGGCCGCACCTCGCCATAGCGCCGCAAGTGCTGCTAACGCGAGCGACGTTGCCACACCGCCCGACTTATCCGTACAGCGGTTGAGAAGGGATGATATCACTGAGACCAGCTCAAGCCCGTGTGATGAGGCGCTATGCGATGAAGAAATAGGTTATATGACAGATCCATCCTCAGTAGTATTATAATAATAATAAGCCTTTATTTATCCACATCTTATTTAATACCTACTCTAAGGCCATGTTTAGATGGCAAAATATTGACTAAACATCGTGGTATTTACATATATTACCACGCGGGTACAATGAGCGCGCGTTAACGAACGTCTGCAAGCGTTGACGCGGCGCTCAAAGAAAAAGTCTCTAGACGCAGGCGAACGCGCGCTTTGGTAGGTGTAACTTTAGTTGAGCGCGCGCTCTCATCGCGATTGCACGTTTTTTTCGTGACTTGTTTTCGTATTCAGTTCATAATGAGTGAATCTAAAGAAATGTAACATAACCACAAAATAATAGCTTCTTCCACGTCCATTTTCTAAGCTCTATCGAAACAGAATGACACTCTCTCGCTCTCGCAACGCACTTGACATTTGAAGTCCTTATAGTCCGGGAGATAGTGACACAAAATATTGAGTCATTTGTACCAGTATGGCGGATCTTCAGGGGTCTTATTATGCAATGAAAAAAAGAAAAATGATGGTCATAGCGCTGGTACGAGCGGCCCAATCACGAGTTTCATTCCATTGTTTCTTAACCATTTTTATGTCGCGACCCACGAAAAAGCCAAAAAGTCAAGTAAAACAAGTTATTATACATAGATATAGCTATATATTACATCTTAATATTTCTTGTGTCGTGTTATGTGACTGAACTTCTCTCAAACACTGGCGTTTTGATGAAATTTTTTGTGTGTGTTCAAGGGATCTGGGAATGGTTTAGATTCACAAATCAGCCCGGCAGATGGCACTGCAGTCGGTACTTTCATACTTTGCTTAATATCCTAATCGCTTTAAATATCATGCAGGACACCGTCTGTGGGGTCCACTAGATATACCTATATATTACATCTTAATATTTAAGTTTAATAACACGACACTATAATTATTCATTAATTTAATAAACGAATCTGTTCACGCCATCCAGTTACCTTTGGTCCTCTCTGGTCACATTCTCTATCCTTACCGCACCCATTCCCTAAACACCACTCTGTCTCTGGTGCGGTATTAAAGTGTAGAAGGAGGGGACCGTATTCTACATGCTCCCGCGCAGCAGAGAAGATCTATCCGCCGCCGCAAGGTCACGCGTGTGCTTTCGCTTGCGCTTACGCTTCATCCGCTTATTGTTCATATAGTTTTATTTGTGGTCTTCTCCCACGGAGACAGGTGAAGAGACGGAGGACTAAAGGTGAGTGGTGTTTCCATTATTTTTACGCCGCATTCCACTTGCCCCTCGGCCTACTTCCATTTGTCTTCGCCGCTACAGAATCTTTTGTACCTTTATGTAGTTTGTATTTATTATTTTTTAACAGACTGCGTGTCGCAGCCTTTTAAAACAAACTCGACCCCCCCGCTTGAAAAACGAAACTGGCTTTAACTATAATTCAATACATACCGCGCCTCACAAGTCCGTTTAACAGCAAGTGCTTTGGCGAGGTCAATTTCCCATTTGAGGTCGTCTGGTTTCATTGCGGTATCAACTAATAACTCTTGAAGATATGGAAAACATCTAACCTGTAATTGTTAAACTTCATTAAGAAGACCATGGCTAATTAGTTAACGCACGTGGAACTTAAGTGGTTCGATTCTCGATGAAACAATTATTTATTAATAAAAGGTTGATCACCTTTTTGCCTATATTATATATGATACTATTGGAACCAAACTCATTACAACTTCTTAACATAATAATTTAAATTTATGGACTGGTGTACACACTTTAGAGAGTGACTCTTTATGGTCTTATTTTTCGAAAAATGATCTACTGTATGCAACATTGTTGTAAAATAGTGTAAAGTTTAACAAAAGCTTTAATTATCATATACATGAACTACAAATATATTTTAGTCTTTTATTAGAATGATTATAAAATTTATTAAGTGTAATCAATACAATCACTGAAAAACAGTTAATTTCCTAGAAGGTGATAAGCAGCCTTTTGCCTAAAGAGTTTTAATATGAACTGGCGGAACCGAAAAATGTGACGCGTACGAAAAATGTTAAACATGTCTTCCAACCTCGATAAAGAAGTTTCTACTTAAAAAAATCATCTAATTGTAAATGGTAAATCGTGAACCCGCTGAAACACACACAAAACATTTCATCAAAATCGGTCCAACCGTTTAGGAGTTTAATTACAAACACAAGCACAAAAGGTTTGCTATAAAGATATGCTTCATGTTTCGATCCCTTTCCCCGAGTTTTTTATTTGGTTTACACATTAGAAAAGCTTTTCTAAGCAGTCTGGGCATAGAAAGATGGTCCAAATGTTGGTATGTAGCTACTAGAAGGTATAGGCAAAATAAAAAAGACATATTAAGGCGAAACGAAGTTAGCGGGGGGTAGCTAGTAAAATATATTTGAGTATTTAATTACCTGCGTTTCAGCTAAACTCGTATACAGCGCAATAAGCAGCGATGTAGGGACGCCTTTATTGGCCTTTAACTTATTTAATACCGCAACTAATGTTGGAACATTTTCCTGAAAAACACATTATAAACTGATCACTTAATTGTCTGACCACCATTTTAATACTAGAGCCAAGAGAAGTCAACATAATTAATTAATATTATTAAAAGTTTGTTGTTATTTAATACTGGACGTTGTCATCACATGGATGCATTTTAAGTATTTTGGAAATAAATAGGGCTAACATCAGTGTATAGTTTTGAGATTATTTATTAGAAATATACAAAAATAAAAATCTTTATTATGGACAAGCTGTGCGAAGGTGTGCTTTAATTTGATCACTTGAGAAATTATTTATCAAAATAAAATAAAAATAGACTATATTCCTTACATCCCTATAGACTGTATAGTGTATATACTGATACAGTCTATAGGGTTTACATAAGTTTTTATGTTATTATATTTAATATTAGTACATGACCTCCAACGGAGTGAAGGTCTACTCCAAATACTTTCCATTTGTCTCTATCTTTGCACATTCTGCTATCTGACTTATTACATCTTCCTAACTTTTCTACATCTAATATATAAAATTCTGTGTCACAATGTTAGTTCCCATACTCATCCGAAACGGCTCTACCTACTGATTCTTATGAATTTTTATGCATTTCAGTAAGTCTGAAAAATCGCTACTATCTAATCTTTCAAACCCCTAATGATAAGAGGTGACCACCCCAAATTTTTTTATTTTATAGACAAATCTTTTTTGTTTTTCTGATACAGCTTACAAAAAAAATACATACAACCCTTAATTTTCATCTACCCTCTACGATCAACCCCTATTTTTTATTTGTTAGTTAAGAATATGATAACTTGAACTCTGAAGTTTATATAGAGAAAAATCACAGAAAAACCTAAAAAGTTTTCATTCAGGAAAACCTAACAGTCTCTGGGGTACCATAGCAAAATGTTCCATGTTGGTATGTACTAAAAAGGTGGCTATTCATTAAGGAGAAACAGAACTTCGCAGGGGCAGATAGTATATATATATATATATTATAATACAATACAATATGAGTATAGACCTTACCTTCGTTGAAGCCATGATTGGCAATCCCTTCAAACAGGCCAATTTGACATTAGGCCGGTTATCAGCCAATTTATGCACCAAAACCGGCAAAATTGTCACCGATACCTCCTTCTTAATCCCCACTACTTGCACTATACACTGTATCACTTTAACCACTACAGCCTCATCCAGAGTTTTATTTAAACACAATCCAACCAAAAACGGAAGTAGCTCCACTTTTAACTCATCATTAGTACTACACAACACATCAAACCACGATTTTAATTTGTCCGGATTATCCAGACGTTCCCATGTTTCCAATAACTTGAAATATATTTGTAAATGCCGTTCTGTTTGGACTAAATTTTGGAATGTTTTGTTGGACTTTAAATTCGCCATATAAAGGAAATTGTCTGTTTTCTCCTGTTGTTGTATGTCAATGATTTTTGAGGCCGTGTTGAGCGCGTTAGTTGTCAGATACGAAGGTAGATGGAGCCACTGTAGGGAAAGGCCAACGAAAGAGTTAAGGCATACTGTTGAGTATTCGTATTTGCTTATTATGTTCAGACCTGGAAAATAAAAATATATACATTATAGAACGTTATACATTCAATCTGTTATAACGACACCCCTAAGTTTTTATTTTTTAGACAAAACTTTTTATTTTATTTTCTAACGATACAGCATACATAAATACGTACAACCCTTAATTGTCACCCCTATTTTTTATTATAGTAGAAAGTTATTTTTATTTAACTAAAAAAATTTTTCCTAGAAATAATATACATGGTCAGCCAGTTTCCCATAATAAAAAGACATTACGTACATATAATTATAATTTTTCGACATTTATAACAAAATCAAATATTTTAGTTTGTTTATAGTTCACACTGAATTTTAATTAAAGTGCACAATTAAATTTATTTTAAGGGTCATAATTGTAACATTAAGTATGATAGCTGTATGTCGAATCCAACACGTTTTTGACGTACGTACTTAGATATCAGTTTCGACAGTAAATCTTTTTTCAAGTATCAAATACGTCTTCGTAACGTACGTATACGTTTAATATTTTACACCGGGGATGTATTTTCTAAAGTTAGATAAGATAGTAAAAGACATAAGATATACAATAACTTATATACATAAAGAATATAACAAAACAGTTAAAAATATATTTAGATTTTAATATACTGGACCGATAATAAATAATAATTTCAACTTGGTATAAAATGTATACGATTTTTATATGAATTTGCTGTAGTCTGATTAAAACATACCATCTGATATAATATTTACTTTTTATTTGTTTAAATACATACATAAAGTACTGGGCCAATACGATAATGTCAAAAAATTAAATATATAAGATACACCATATCGCTACTGTGAACTCACTCTGCGAACATAAAAAGATGTCGATTGTGTCGGAGACGGCAATTAGTAAGCGTATCGCAAAAAACCATTAAAATATAATTCAAGTATCAATTAAAAATAAAATAAAAATAAATCAGTGGCGTTACAACCTCTTTAGGTCTGGGCCTCAGATTTCTGAATCTGATTCATGATCATTTTTCAATCTAATAGGCAGGAAGGTGATCAGCCTCCTGTGCACACACGCCGTCGACTTTTTGGGTCTAAGACACGTCGGTTTCCTCACGATGTTTTCCTTCACCCTTCGAGCAAATGTTAAATGCGCACATAGAAAAAAAAGGGGTGTGTACTTATGTAAGCGCGTAAGAAGTTATACTTCTTTGGCAATATTAAAAATAGTTTGGCTTTGTTCCACCCTCCAGTTTTTGCTGTTTCACAGCGATAAGATGACAACTCTTTTGAATTACTTCTTAGGGCGTTATGAAAAATTGATGGAGGGAAATGTTACGATTGCGCGCGCACTTGACACACAAAATTGGCAGTAGTGATATAGCGTGCGCGAGCGAGATGGAAAACACAAATAAGACATTGTAGAAGTAAAGATTTATATGAGACTTCTCGCATAGCAGAGCCTTAGCAAGAATTTTGAATGACCATCATTGCATCTGACAATGACATTTACCTTTTAAACAAATATAGGAGTTTTAATTATTGTTTAAAATTAATAATTATATACCTAGTTATTTTCATTATACAAAATTTTGTGAAATAATATAAAATACTCTTTGTAGAAAAAACTGTGCTAACCTTCCTGAGTGCTTCAATACAATTGAGGTTAACTATCCGATGTATTATGGAGTATTATTGTTGATTAAAACTAACATTTCTTGCTTTTGTTTATTGCGTTTGTTACAGCAACTTTTTAGAAATATTCTAGACTTATATCAATAATTGAGAACAAAGATTTAAGCACGAATACTAATAAGGAGAAAATGAAGCTTGGAGCGATATAACAGAGAAGTAAACATTTTAAAAAGTACCTGCATCTCAAAAAACCCATATTATTTAATCAAAAACAGATTTAATCTACAAATATAAGGACAAGAGACAAAACAATTGATGAATCAGTGGAAGTGCACTAAATTGAATACAAAAAAAGAGTTGTCATCTTATCCCCGAAACAACAAACTGAGGTAACAAAGCCACCATCACCTTCTCGAGACACAATGGTATAAAACCCAATGTAGATTTCAATGAATTTGATTGTGATCGGATGTTAATTATAATGTATGGTGATGTTCAAGGTTCAACCTTCAAGCATAGGCTTATATTTACAACATTTTTATTCCCTCAGGGTAGTTAGGAAATTGTAATATAAAACATCCATGTTGCACATGTAGTACCGAAACTCAGTCCGCCAGAAGTGAGCTCATTCCCACTTATAATGGAAGTGGGTATAATACACCTTAATACCTGAGTGCGAACCACACACCATGATACTTAAATTAATAGATGTTATTTATATATTTCAGGTTATTACAAATAAAATCATTTTGGAAACAATTGATATCCCAAAAGCAAATAAAGCCAACAATGACAGGTAATAAATCAGTTTTGACATAACTTGAATCTAAAAAGCCAAACAAAGGGTGCTCCACAGCGGCCTTGTAAAACAACTTAACAATTTCATTATTTTGTAGGATTAAAGAAAGGTTAAAGAAAATCATGTCGAACTGAACAACAAGAATCCCCAAACAACTCCAAATAAACCTACAAGGAAGACACCGGTATTATATTTAAATTATCTCTATCTCTAAATAGAATAAAAAAAAGTTTTCTAATCCAGGTCTGTGGCATGTGCTACAGATTTTATTAACACATTTATATAATTATATTAATATAAATGTTTTATAATATAAATTATAATTTTAAGTTTTGCATGGACAGGCTTAAATTAATATTCTCTTATTTGTTGCAGACAAGCAAGTAGTTTTGGAGAGCCTCGTAGATGCACAACTAAGTAATGATTAATTTAAAATTACAAACCGAAATTCTGATGAAGACATTAGAGTCACTTAAAAATAAATAGTATAATGAAATAAAAATGTTTTAAAGATAAATAGTGTTTTATTTGTTTAATGTAAAGAGAATAATAATAAATATTTATTTAATTAATTTTTCAAATGTAAACTGAACTTTATTGACTTTAATGCCTCCTTTCCAGTCTTTGATTATTTAATTGTAATTAATTATTTGCATGCAATCAAAACTATTTTTAATAATGCCAAAGAAGTATATCTTTTCCCCCGCGTACATAAGATGACACGCACTCTTTTTTTTGTATTCAATTTAGTGCACTTACACTGATTCATCAATTGTTTTTTGTCTCTTGTCCTTATATTTGCTAGAGAAAAATTACATGTTTTGATTAAACAATGTTGTAATTTTTTTAATCAAAACATTACTCGATAATAATAATAATACAAACTGATAGTTAACCTCAATTGTAATGAAGCACTTAGGCAGGTTGATGAGCACAGTTTTTTCACAAATATTAATTAGTATTGGTTTAAATATTCAATTTAAATCACTTCTGATTATATATAATTCAAAAAGCATTGCTAAATTTCTTTGAAAAAATAATTAAAACTCCTTTATTTGTTTAAAAGGTAAATGACAAATGTCATTATGGTCATTCAAAATTCTTGGCATACGAACTTCACGCATATTCTATTTCTTTTTACTTGTAGATTGTCTTATTCCTATCTCGCTCGCGCACGCTATAATCACACTCCTAATTTTGTGTCACGGTGCGCGCGCATCGTAAAATTTCACTCTCATAAATTTTTCATAACGCGCCTAAAGAAGTATAACTTCAAAAAGTCCATTGGTACACAGCGACCTCAGGGATGAGAGTCGGACGCTAAAACCACTAGGCTAACACTGCTCCAAGTATTAATCAGTTATGTGTTCAACCATTACTCATTGCAATTTATTCTGAGAAGTTCTTAGGGTATGTAAGAACTTTATAAATGATTTAAAAACGATATGGTTTTATAATATTTTAATACTCACACAAGTTGAAAAGTTCGTGTAGATACAGGGCAGCGGTTTCTGTCAAATTGTCTGCGAGTATTATCAATGTAAGTCCAGACACACATTTGAGCTCCGGCACGTCCATGGAAAAACAGCGATCTATTAAACTGTAGCACGGCCGAGGATCGCGACTGAAAACATAAATGTTAATTTTTGAAGTAAAACTTAGTAAAAAACGTCACGAAGATGTGCAGCGTTTTTGTCGAAGAAAAGGCAGAGAGCGATTGAGACCGATTGAGAGACAGAGAAATTATAATTTTAACATTAAAATTTCGTAAAGAGAATTTATGTTTATATTGTATGCAAAATATTTTATTGAAATCTCAAATGTCAAATTGTAAATTAAAATGCCATGTGTTTTTATTATCGAATGTATTATTTGTATTAATTTTCGACACTTTTTAATATTTTAATGACAATAAATTAATTAAATTCCTAATATATCTTCCTTTTTCCCTCCCTCTAAGTCCCGGAAATCTAAAGTTTTAGATTTGTATAAATATGAACAAGAGTTAAAAATTAGTTTGCCAAAGAAAATTCACTTCTGACATGTGTACTTTGTACGCGCGCACTTTTAATTTTATTTATAAGAAGATTTACAGCTTATATCTAAATTACTTAATCATTAGACCGTTACAAAAAAACAAACAATCACTTAAATTTAACTATCTTTTTGGTACATCTGCGTAAATAGTTGACTGTTGTTAAAAATGTAATTATAAAAAAATGGTTGTCTGTAAAATCGGTTTATTGACGATAGTTTGACGTGACAACGTTATAACAAAACGTTGATGAAGTGATTGCATACTTAAGTCTTCTAGTGGAAGAGAGAGCAAGCGTACAATGAGCGTAACGGGACAGTGAGCGTAACGGGACGATGCGTCATGCTTTTCCGTGCGTGCAGCCGGCGTTCATAGATTTATTAGACGATGTCACGTCAAAAAATTAAATGAATAGATTTAACACTTAAGTTTAATACTAAATTTTTATAAAGAAAATATATATAAATTTACCCGTATGCAGAGTAAAAACATGAGTAAACCCGCATGCATAAGTCCCTAAAACGTGGCAGGCATAGGCTGATCTTTGAAAAATAATTGCCAATTAAGAAAAAATATCTCGAAACAGATACAGAAATTTGAATCTGAATACCAAGAGGTACTAAGTTTAAATAAAATTTCTTCAATCGACGCAAATTCATCAATCATAACTCAATAATTTTATATACATACTAAAAATAATGGGACACCAAAATATTGCAACAACCGCCTTCGCGGCGATAGATGGTGTTAATATGTCAACATTTCAAAAGGCTCTGATATCAAATAGTTTTCTGTCAACTTAATAATGCAATAAAATATTAATATTTGTTGAACTTTAAATTATGAAAACCATGTAAATGCAATTTTATTTAACGGTTTCAAGTAATAAGGATTATACAAGTACCATAATTTTTTTTTTCATGTATTTCTTACCCATGTTTAAGTAGTTGACTGCATATTGTTGCCAGCATAGGCACAAATGCCACAATATACTCCCTTCTTTGTTGATAAATAGCCGCTTCAGTCACTGCAGAGTAAGCCGATACGGAACTTTCTAGTAACTTTGGATTACATATCTGAAAATAAAGTTAAATAGTTAGTTATTATTCCTTAAAGATTATTTCCACTGAAATCTAACAACTAAAACAAACATAATTTATTGATAAAATTAGCTAATATACAGATGCTTATTTTTTAAGATACTTAATCATATTTTTTTATTATCCTTCATAATATAATATGTATTGTTTACAAAAAAAACTATGAAAACAACTAAATAATAAAGATGTCATGCAAATACTATGAATCAGTTGTATAGACTTTTAAGCATAATTACTTTCACAAATGTTTATATAATGCTTTCTAATAAAGGCAAGGATACATAAATATGTTGAATCCATTTCTAATGAGAGTGAGACTTCTTTATCAGCTATTGGTAAAACTTTGCAGCAATATATAAAGCCTCAATAGGAATTTTATGTCTACACCACTCTACAGAAAATGAAAAAATAATGTATTATTTTATAATTCGTCTTAATAATACCTGTTGGCTACTGAGACATGCAAGAAGCAAGGATGACTGGGCATCAGACTGTGGGAGACTTAGCAATAATTGCCAAACTCTAGAGCTGCCTCTAGATCTTTGTGGATTGCTAGTCAACCAGAGAAATACTGGTCTTAGCAGCTCAAGGCTGTTTGATGATACCCTGCAAACATAGGAATCGTTAGGTTTGTTTTATATAAATAGAGCCTTACGTGAAGTAATATGGATCCTGTGCCCTGTCTACGGGTTGTACGACAAATCAAGTCAACTCACATCTGTAATGTGATATAAAATACTTACATATATTTCTAATTATCTTGGTTACTGACTGAAATCACATTAATATGAAATAAAATTATATTCCATTTAGAAAAACCTTCTTTTTTCTTTACAAACCTTTATAATTGGTACAATTTTAATTTGTTATTTACATACTCTTCCTAAGAAAATTAACTATTATTATTACAAAATAATATGTTCAGAACTTACAAATATTCATGACTTGTGCATAATGCATGCATTTGAGCCAGAACATTGTCCTCTATATCCTTATTCTTCTCTAGTATAGTAATAAATGGATGCTGCGGTGAGCGTAAAGAGAACTGGCACTTATATGGTTGCCCAGGAATGAGACGTGACTTCAGATCTAATACTAAAAGACCAGCCATTGTTGAGATTATTGCAGAGAAGTTACTGAAATTAGGAGTAAGAACAAATCAAGTGAAACACAAAAATATTTTATACTGACACTTTTTTGACATATGTACTTTATATTCTGATGAAAGCATATGCTTTCAAAAAACAATTATAAACGCCTATTATTTTTTTAATTTTTAGTACTATACTAAAAATTTACCTAATAAAGGCTTTGATAAATAAACTCTAATAAATTTGGTATCTGGTATATGCAGCAGTTGTTTTCTACTTACTGTGCTGTTGGCAAAAGTGATACCACAGTTGACATTGTATGCCCTATTTCCAGCACATTCAATTCCACCAAGGCGAGTAAGCCTTGACATGCAGTAAGGCTCACTACAGGATCCGGAGAAGAACATTTCTCTCTCAAAAACTTTAATTCTTCATTCTCTAAAACAAATTTCGGTCTCTCAGCCGGCTTATACTTGGATTTTATCGTAGATATCAACTTATCTACAGCATTTACTATGAGAACACTAGTATTCGTTTTTAGTTTATATTCAATTTCATCCATTTTATTGATTTATTAAAGAAAAATAGTAAAAAATAAACTAGTAAGCGATGCTTAAAGATACTAATTTGAAAATCATCAATTTGAATTTTGAAGATTTCCTTCAGTCAGAATACGTGCGTATATGATATTTGACTTTGATAGATAACATGATTGGAAACATATAATTCCACAGAGTATGCATGTGTCTTTTAACATATAAATTCAAATAAATATTCTTTATTCTCATCGGAGAACAAGAACTAAAGATTAATACAATGAAATAGGGATCGAAGAAATGTGTTTAATTTTCATGTTCTAACGTGCTAACGTGGAAATCTCTCATAAAATAATGTTTATTTTCTTTTATTTTACGTAGGTTAGCATTACGTAGTTAAGTAATCTTTTAAAGTTTATTCTTATGTCAATTCAGGTTACTTTATGTTAATTTAATTGTATTATTTTTTCTCAAGATACACATTCAAACAAAAATATATACAAAAAATTTAACAATGAAGATGAATAGTATTGTAGTTCTAAAGCTGGGACTGAACCAAAGAGGGCGTGACATCAACTTTACTTCTGAAATTTTAATTACTTTCGACTTTCGAGATCGCGAGTAGAATGCCTTATTTATTTCCTCCTATGTGTAGTTTATAAATCTGTGTGTAATTGTATGGATTGTGTATAATTAAATGATTGTAAAAACTTCAACTACAACTTTAACCTAATACCTATTTAATAATAATTATCAAACTTTCAAAATCTGGCTGTGTAACATATTAAGACTCATTAAAATGTCAACTCCACCTCGAGAAACTATTCAAAAGCAAATACAACAGGACTGGGCGAATAGGGAATACATTGAAGTTATTACAGGAAGCATCAAGAAAATTACGGATTTCCTCAACTCGTTTGGTAAGATAATTGGCGTTTATTAATACGCCAAGATGTTTTCAGAAATGGAGCAAAACAACGCCCATGAATAATTTAATAATAACCATAACAATGAAGCCACTTGTAAAACAAATATTAATGTAAATGTTAATATGGTTTACTTTATGTTGTTTTCTCCATATTTTAAATTATATTTTTTGCAGATATGTCATGCAGGTCTCGGCTTGCTACTTTAAATGAAAAATTAACATCATTAGAAAGGAAGATTGATTATTTAGAAGCATGTGTGAGTATATGATAAATAGTAAACTAAACTAAAGAGTATAATTATTTAATATACTTAATATAAATAAAGATTTTAATCACAAATTAATCGTAATAGGTGACCAAAGGAGAAACTTTGACATAAGTGCCACATAGTGAAAAGATGAAGAAATACATGAAGTAGCTGAATTCAGCATTAATAGATTGATAGTGCTGAAGCTTACACAATTTATTTCACCGAAGTAATTTAAATCTTTGATTTTATTGAAACTTAGCTTAAGTAAAGGATTTCTAATTTAATTTACAAGTTGTAAGCTCGCCAATTAATTTAAATTATATGACTGCATAACCTTAATTTCTAGAAATCCCCTGAGATATATGAGAGAGTTGTTTGTGATGAGTTCTTATTATTGACTTTTAAGCAATTTGTTGCTGAATGGTACAGTCTTACCAAGCTTTCAATAATAATTGATTGGTGTAAAGGCTCACCATGTCATCAATTAAAAATAAAGTAAAATATGTATTTGACTAAATTTTTGTTCTGATTGTATGCGTAATCAAAAATAGTTTTTGCTTTTGTTTTGTCCAGCAATATGGACAGAGCTGTTTTATCACTTGCCATTGTATAATTTAACATACAGTATACAAGCTGTTATAACCATAGTAGTATGTATACTCTTATTACAATTGTAAAAGTGCAACTATCAAATTTAATACCTTCTTAATTGTTGTTAATATTCTAAATTGAGATTTTGTGTTTGATTCAGTGTGACCTACCAGTATCAACTCAAGTTAAGGTTAGGTTTGAGTATGGTAAACATTATTTAATTCTTAGTTATGTTAAGTTTTTACATTTATATTTAAAATGTCTCTTAGCTTATTTAAATTATAAATAAAGATGATTCTTGTCTTGTATATTGTATCATTTCCATTTGCATTTTTTTTATTGAACAGATGTTGTTAAGTGCATGGGCAGGAAGGAGGCTCATCTGATGTTAAGTGATACCGCCGCAGGCCATAGACACAGACTGCTAGAAGGCTCGTTGGCCATTATTTGATAAGTTATGGTCCACATTTAAATGGTTTCTAAGATTACTGCAACACCTTGGCCTCCACCACATGACGAAGCGGCTATAGCTGTCCTTAAGTTGTGTAATCTGAAACAAAATAAAACAATAAGGAGATTCCCCTTGATTTAAGAGTTTTACTAATAACCAGAAAAAATTCTGTAAGCTGCGTAGTAATTTATTATAGCGACGTTAAATTTACGTAGGTTAAGGCAAGAACACATTCAAAAAAGCCTTTAATTAAAATAAACAGCTAAAGCTGGACTGCATTTGAATGTATATACATTGTACATAATTATATAAATTCGCGTTTTTTTTAAATTAACGGCTTGAAATGATTTTATATAGGTATGTCGGCTTTATTGGTACCTCAATTGATGTACAATATGAGTGATCATTCTTGCTCCAGTGGCTGATACAGGATGTCCCATAGCGAGCGCACCGCCATTTACGTTTACTTTGGTCTGATCTAAATCGAGTTCCTTTATGACAGCAAGGGATTGTGATGCAAATGTTTCATTTATCTGTAAAAAGAAATTATTATTATATACATAGATTTGGGGCCATCCATAAAGTACGTCACACGTTAATGGGGAGGGAGGGTATCACCGAAGTGTGACAAGGGGCATGGGGGTCAATACTTTTGTGACGTCACATGTTAAAATTTTAAATACTAAAACGCAGTTTGGATGTGAATTAAAAATTTACGAACTTGATCTATATTTATTAATAATTTAGCATTCTCGCTATGCGATAATCTCTCATGCAACGTCATTTAACTTCTAGAGCGGCGTTGTAATGCAAGTGAGACACTCAAATTTTGAATGGTAAGGATTTAAATAGGTTTAAGTCGTCGGCGAGTGCTCGCTCGCTTTTCTATCGTTCCGCACGTCCGTTGTTTGCGAGACCTTCGACAACAGTGTGACCGTTTTAAAAAATGCCAATCTACCAAAACTACAAGGTGCCAGTACTAAATAATACCAAAACACATGCTGAATTATACTAAAAATATACTAAAAGAAAAAGAGGATTTTTTTTATTAAAACACTTATTATCAGATACTTTTTAATTTTACCAATTACACACCTTCATTGTACAGACATATTCAAATAATAATAAATATTTACAATAAGTTTTATTACAAATACTAAGTCAGTATTCGCTGCACTGAGCTAACTGAGCAGATTTAGTGCGTTTGCAGGAAAGGCCTTTGCGATTTCCGAATCATAAAACATTTTGCTGAATAAATCGCTGAGATGATCAATGGCCCGAGATGGTATGTTATGTTCTGCCAACGCTGCATAAAATATAAGCTCTGCTTTTCTTACTTTTTCAGATATGGGTTCTTTCATTTGAAGTAATTTATCATTCATCGTTCTGAAAATAAACAGGATTTGATTAATTTGATGAATTTAAATCAATTATACATGTGTGTACATGTACTATCCAAGATTCATCGGACATCCTGAAGAAGTAGGACAATTAATTCATGTGCCATAAAAAAATAAGGGACACAATAATCTTATAAATATATATGTTAATGGGGGCATAGCTTTCTTACCTTGGATTGTCCACTATAACGTATAAGTTTCTATCGATGTTTTTCAGAATATGCATGACTTTTAATTGTAGCGATTCTGCTTAAAAATGTTGCTCCACACGTTTTACACAAGGCGTTCTCATTATTTCTATCTTTTGTCAAACATGACGAAAATTCAGAATTTTGTTCCCACTCAGATCTATATTTCTGATCGCATTTGCGCTTCATTATCTTCACTACACATGCACACAGAGAGAAATAAATAAAGAACTAAAACATCCGTATAACATCCATGTATAAAAAATACAGCATGTAACGTAGATAGTAATACGTAGCCAAAGCACGATTCGCGAATTTGTTAGCATTAACCGTTCGAAAGAGACAAAATGATACATTTGCGGTAAACATCAGACAAAGACAAAAACATGTGAACGAAATACGAACGAATGAAAGTGAGTGTTTCCCGCCCAGCCCAAAAATATATCAAAATGTGTTTTAAAAAGTTGAAAGTTTAAATGTACCAAAAAATACCAGAATATAAAAGGATACCCAAAAAATACTAAATTAGTTACACGGAGCCCAAATTATACCAATTTGGTACTGAATATACTAAAAACGGTCACACTGTTCGACAAGTGCTACCTCACGCGCCGGCGCAGGAAAAAAAATGTGTGACGTCACATCAGGAGGAGGGGGGTTATAAAAATGTGACAACCTGTGACGAGGACGGGGGAGGGGTTCAAAAGTCCTAAAATTCGTGTGACGTACTTTATGGATGACCCCTTTAATGTAAACCATTTTATTAGATTTTGTAAATTGACATTTCTTCTTGGATTCGGCATATTGTCTAGAATTTAAACTGCCACATTGGCCTAGTGTTTAACAAGTTTTAGTGCCAAAATAATATTTCGTAAAATGGAGCACGTAAAGACGTTACACAGAAGCCAGTCTCAATCAGCCGCCGTAAAGACTGAGAGAGCATCTCTTAGAAGAGACATTCTTCACTTGACACACAATAGTTGAAAAAATAGGGATTAAGGAAGCCAAAAATATGCTCAGATGCGAGTGGACTCACAACAAATTATGCGTATGCTATGCCCTATGGAGATAAGACTTTCGGTAACAGTTTTGAATACCATCGCACTTTTTTGACGATACTAATTATTTAGGAGTCTCGGAGGACCTTCATTGGAACACCTCCAAGTGAGTTTTGCTCCGGAAACGCGTCAAAAATTTTATAAAGATTTATAAAGTAAACTTTGCACTGTAAAACTAATTACCGCTAGTCTAGCATAAACCACATTCAAAATGGCCGATTAAGTTTATAAAATTAATAGGGATGTGAAAAATAATCGATTTTTTTAAAAGTGAAAATCGATTTTTGTATTCGATTTTAATATTAAAAATAATTGAAAATTCGGCGACCAAATATTCATATACTAACTCTAACCTAATCAATCTAAATAATATTTGTTTTTGTGGACAGCTCCGATCTAAATAGTAATTGTTTATTCAAGCCTCGGCTTCTCTGCGTCCTGGTCGCCTTCGGCGACCAAATATTCATATACTAACTCTAACCTAACCAATCTAAATAATATTTTTTTTTGTGGACAGCTCCGATCTAAATAGTAATTGTTTATTCAAGCCTCGGCTTCTCGGCGTCCTGGTCGCCTTCGGCGACCAAATATTCATATACTAACTCTAACCTAACCAATCTAAATAATATTTGTTTTTGTGGACAGCTCCGGCGCTACGGGAAATGCAGCCCCTCCACCCTTGCGTACCAAAGCACAGGCATTATGAAAGCTGTAGCGGCTGAGGCTGGTCGCCGAAGGCGACCAAAAAGCCGAGGTTGCGGAGGCTCTTCCTCCGCGCCTCCGATTATTTATATACACTCTAGGGGTAAGACAGACAAGACCACATGGATAGTGGGGTGCTCTGATTCGGTTTTGGGTACTTTTTGGATATTAAAGTAAACACTTTATTCTAGTAAAAATTAAATAATATAGAAAGTTGCAAACAATGAAATACAAGTACTAATTAGAAAATACAGACGAGTAGGTATCGATAATTTCAAAAAATTTCGGAACCCTATAATCTATCAACACGAAATTAGGTTAATTTCAATGTTGATTATTCTATAACTTTAAATTTCAAAAATGAGGAAATAATCGATAAATAAATAAAACGATTATTAACAATCGATAAATTAAAAACACGATTTTTTTAAGTGAACGTCACATCACTTATAACCAATAGAAAAGTAGAAAATGGCGGATTGTTTACAAATTTTAATACATTACACAAAACTTTAAATTTTTTATAAAAATATTTAGACGCGTTTCCGGAGCAAAACTCACTTGGAGGTGTTCCAATGAAGGTCCCCGGACACTCCTAGATAATTAGTATCGTCAAAAAAGTGCGGTGGTATTTAACACCCAACCCAGACTTGCTCAAAGCAGTATTTTTATTCGCTTTCAGTACAAACCTCAAATAAATCAATATCATGCATCCTCAAATCTACTGTTTTTGTTAACTTTTTAATTGCCGCAACTACTCCAAGGCCTTCGTACGGATCACTTCCAACACACGACCAGCCAGTTATTCGCGCCATAGGATTTAAATTATACATTTTAACAATTTCTTCACTAGCTAGCAATATAGCTGCTGCACCGTCTGCTGGGGCCTAAAATAAATAAGGTCTTTTATTGGTTTGAGCTCAAAATTGAATTACACAATGTTAAATTTCATAAACGTACTACGTAATTTGTCACGTTTATTACCTAGTACCTGCGGAATGTAAAATAATTTGAAATACATTTAAAATATTTACGTGCCCGCCGGAAAAAAGCGTCCGCTACGTTACATTCGATGTAGGCATGTGCATTGTACGTGTACATAAATAAAAACAAGCAAGATACCTAGTATTTGATAGAAGTTATAATGTTAAATTTTCAGAAGACTAAAACTATTAAACAATAGCATTAATTATCCTAAGTCATCAAAATCTGTACATGTATGTATATTGTATTTATTTTTATTTAATTATGCAAAGAAATATATGTTATTGAAGCGTAAAAACTTGTAGCTGTAATGTTTACTCATTAAATATAGCAATATACATATTTAAAGATACGTTTAACACCAATTTTTTTTGTTATTAAAATCTATTCCGAATTCTAGCCGAAAGACAACTGTAACCCAAGATGCGCAATTAAATAATAGCCTTCTTCAACAGTAACTTACAGCAGAATTGTTGAAAGTTACAATAGAATCTTCACTGACAGAGGGTGATGCGGTCAAGTTTTCAAGTTTAAGTTCTGGGTTTGGTAATTCGTCTTTAATGACGTAATGTTCCTTCTTATTTATCACAGTTTTTAGTTTTGTTATCTCATCTTCGAAAGTATTTGATTCTTCAGCTGCAAGGTGTAATTATGCATTTATGACCTAAGTATATAAAGCTTAAAAGGTTTGAAGATCATAAGACTGAGATTGCCTATCGACAATTCACAATAATCACAATTCAATTATGCATTGTTAGTAATGGATTTAATGATGAGATGAGATGGGAATAAGACAATCTACAAGTAAAAAGAAATAGAATGTGCGTGAAGTTAGCAGCTATGCCAAGAATTTTGAATGAGCATAATGACATTTACCTTTTGAACAAATAAAGGAGTTTTAATTATTTTTTCAAAGAAATGTAGCAATGCTTTTTCCAAAGACCTATTATTAAGTAAGTTTTGAAGCACACAATTATACAAAATTCTTTTATAACTATTTAATGAAATGGTCTATTATATATTAAACAATATACATATATAAAAATACAAAATTACTTTAATAAAAAATGGCCAAACTAGCTTAGTTAGTCCACAAGATATTTTCATTAACCATATTTTTAAATCAAATTTAGATTAACACAATATAAATTACCTTCCATAAACACTTCACTAACTGAAAATATCCAAAATTTTTAAGTAAATTTTAGGCATGGGGTAAAATTTATGAAATATTAGTATTTTATATTGTATGCAAAATAATTTATTGAAATCTCAAATGACGAAATTAAAATGCCACGTGTTTTTGTTATCAAAGAAATTTATTATTTGTATTAATTTTCGACACCTTATATTTTAATGACAGTTAAATTTCTAACATATCTTCCTTTTTCCCTCCCTATAAGTCTCGGAAATCTAAAGTTTTAGATTTGTATAAATACGAACAAGAGTTAAAAATTTGTTTGCCAAAGAAGTTTCACTTCTGACATGTATACCTGCTTTGTACTCACGCACTTTTTTTATATATACAGCATATTTGACGAATAAAGAAGTCGCTAGTTTATAAAGCCTTACCTTTTTTCCACTTTAAATGGCTTTTTATAGTAAACTCATCAACATCTTTTCCAGTTATACCATAGAGTTTTGCTATATTTTCCGCTGTTTTTTGTAGTGTTATGCCTGTGTACGTATCAAGAAACGCTTTTTTGATGTGATCCTCAATTAGATACGGTGTACCAAGACTTGTTCCGAATCTAACATTTCGTACTAACATCGGTAGAGATGACATTATATCTGTGCCACCCGTGAGGCACAGATTTGCTGAATTTGTTAATATTTCCTGAAAACGGCTTATCACAATAAAATAAAATTAATAATGGGAGATAAGGTTATAGGTAAATTGGTTTTATTACTCAAAGTACTTCTATTTCGTTCACTGCCGCTTAATCGGTAAAACCAATTTTGTTCCCTAGAATTCAATTGCTGTTTGTTGTGTTTTAACCGTTATAATTAATTAATTGAGATTCACATATTGCAAAATCTCTAAAAAAGCTTACGTCATCAACTCGTGCGGGAGCTTTCTACGCTTTCTCTAAAATTATGAAATGACATAATAATCCATTCATTTAAGTATTGAGACGACCATCGCAACCGAGTTAAGGTAGTCGTGAGCCCTTACGAGAATAAGCATTCTAGATAAAATATGATTAGATATAAATTAAGTGTTGCTCTATATAGGCACTTGCAAATTTACAAGGTGATATTTTGGCAAAAAAAAAACTTATTAGTTTGCAGCGTGTATTAATAAGACGTATTCTGTTAAATCTTGAGTGAGAATATCATAGCCTGCAATATGTTTTGATTTTTACCATTCCACCACTTATGACAGCTTGAATGCCCGTCGCGCACGTTCTGTTAACACCAAGTGCCGGTTTCTCAATGGGAACACCAGAGTAGATGCCGCAGTATCTAGGAGTCTTTCCTCCATCACATTGGCTTAGCTATAATTAAGGTATCAACTTGTGAACGTTTTTTATAAGAATTTGCAAACGCGTAGGAGAAAGTATTTACTTTACTTGCGCTAAAGGTTATCATTTGGTTTACTTTTGATAATCCTTAGCTATATCTAAAAGCCTTTTTTAGGATTTTGTACCTTTATGGCACACTGGTTTCAACTATTCTATCACTGATCTGATAAAACTTTAATTTATCTTAATATTGTCTTCTCAGTATTTTCAGCTGTAGGCCTTTATACTTACAAAATTGATATTTCCAACGATCGTACAATCAATTAAGTTTCGATCGACTGTCGATGACTGTATGGCATCTTTTGCAGCGGCAGCAAATGCATGTGATGCTGGCAACTCTCGTAGTGATCCACCATATTTACAAAATGGCGTCCTTTTCGCGCCAATAACAAAAATACCTAAAATGCTATCTTTATTTTCTAATACCACAAACATTTGAAACAAAATTAAAAAACAATCAAGTCATTTTTGTATCTAAGTTGGCAGCACCCTAATGCTAATGAGCTATCAGAAGTGCGCACGGAAATTTTCGTCCACCACTGAAAACCTTTCAAAGTTACTTGCCGGGAACTGGACCGCAATAAATCTTATAGCTATATTAATAAAATTATAACATATACAGTTCAGCACCCAATAAAATAACAAACACAATTTTTTTGTGTAATGCTTGGATTAACGAGAATGATTATTAGAGTGCATGGAATGTTAACAACCTTAAAAACACGTACCTTTGCCCTTAAGTATCATCTGTACTTCAATATGATAAAAATATTCTTATCAATGTAACTGATCACACTGTTGTTTTGTGTTGTGAAATGAGATAACTAAATTATCAGTTATGCTATTTACATTATTTTTATTTATTTACTAAGTCATTTATCTACCGTATCAATTTTAATGACGTGGAATAAGTGATACCTCTATCTCCATAATAAACATATTTTATTTTTTTGAGTACGCTTGAGTAATTTGCCTCTAATGTAATATTAAAATCATCTTATGGAAAAGATGTATTTCTTTCTATAATAACACATAAATTATTTGATAATTTGTATTAAATACTTTTAATATGGTTATAAACACAGGTTATAATGATTTTCTTAAATAATTTTAAAATACGATCAGTTATAATATATATGCTCAGTGATTTTTTTATACACAGTGTAGTGTGTGAAAGAGTTTTGTTACACCACATCGTAGTCTATACAGTGGAGTTTTTATAGATTAAAACACAATTAAAAAATAGACAAATTTATTCAAAATTTATAAAAAGTAAAATATTGTCTACATATTAAAACCATCACTTGCATTATAAAGGCTGTATTCAAGTTGACAATTATAAAAATATATCTATTAAAAAGTAATTCAATAAGCGACAATGCAAGTGAAAATTTATTTTTTCGTATATTTCAAATGTGACTTACGTTATAATATCGTGTTGACTCCTAATATACATATAAGCTCAATAAGTATATCAGCAGTCAACACGATACCATGATTATATGACTAGCACCCACTAGCGCCTCTAAATAACCAATTCTCTTATTGTGCAACATAACATAGACATTAACTCAAAAACAAGGTTGCCTGGAAGTAGTCGCTTGTTAGCGATAAGGCCGCCCGTTGCCTTATAACTTTTGTAACCTGCTATTTTTAATATGTATGTTTTTGTATAAGGTAATAAAGAGTAAATAAATAAACAATAAATTCGTCATTACAGTACATCAAAGTAAAAAAACAATTGAATGGTACACATAGTATACACAGTTTTAGAGTTTTAAGACTTATTTTATTTTTATACAGTTTCCACTAGTAAGGCAATGCCTTGTCCGCCACCGATGCACGCAGATCCAATGCCTCGTTTAAGACCACGGCGTCTGAAAATTATTTGTATATAATAATAGTTGGTATGGTTTATTCAATTTGTAATATCAACTTAAAAGGGGCGATATTTACCAAATGCTAACTGCTTCAAGAGCTGTCAATGGCTCTTTAATAGGTCTAACATATTCGACAGCGTTGAAGCCGAGATTGTGACTTGAGATACGAATTAGAATATCGTCTTTAGTCCTGACGTGATGACACGAATAAAAATCTTACAAATGAACGATATTGATCTTTATAATTTTCTATTATTTTTCCGACCCAAATACAAATACATTCAGTACTTACAACCTACATGTATTATACTGATAATTTTTGAAAATTTTCTCTGGTAGTTGCTTCAAGAAAAGTATTAAGTAGTTGTTTTATTCATTATGAAATTCTTATTTGTTAACTGTACATTTCGTCTCATGGTGCAATTCTATTGGCCGACATTTGGGTCGGAAAAATAATCCCCCGAATACCACACGAGCTTCAAAATTATCGGGTATTTCCCCGATAGGTTCGTGGCAAACAAATGAAGGAGTCAAGTTTTTCAGACCTGACCTTAACCTGAAAAACTTGACGACTTTATTTGTTTGCAGGGAACCTTGAGGGACTCTTGTGGTATTATAAGTGAAAATTCGTATAATTACCTTAGTTCATGTACTAGATGTGCCGTAATTCTGGCGCCAGAAGCACCTACTGGATGTCCCATAGCTATCGCTCCACCATTCACATTCAATTTACTCTGGTCCAGCTTCAGCTCTGCCACACAGGCCAACGTTTGTGCAGCGAACGCTTCATTGATCTGTCGTAATTAACATTTGTAAAAACAGTAATTTCGGTGTACCTATCATAATGTTATAAATTTGTATTAAGGTTTCATTCTAAATTCGATTTCAGTGAAGGATGTATTTTGTAATTTCTATTCGTGAATAATTATTAATATTTTAAATATTCAATTTATGAATAAATAAAAATGATACCTCAACTAAGTCGATGTCATCCAATGTCAGCTGGGTAGCAGCGAGTAACTTTTGTATAGCGGGTACTGGGCCGATACCCATTATTCCTGGCTCGACTCCTACGAATGACCATCCCAAAAGCCTCGCCAGTGGCTTTAAGTTATTTTGTTTTAGACCGTCCTCATTGGACAAAATAAGGGCACCTGCTCCATCATTGATCCCCTAAAGAAAATGTTCGAAATATAAAAGATTTTTTGAAATTGTCTCTGCACAAAAACATCATATGGCATTATGATCTAGCCTAACTTAAGACTAATAATTACATAATTTAAAACTAGGCTAATAGGAAATTTAACATAATAATGAGTCCAATAACACTACAAGGGAAGACACCCTGTTATTGTGTAGTTTATTGTTACTTACCACATTAAAAGAAAATGAAAAATTTTAGATTCATCAAAATATTTGTAACTATGATGGAAATTGAAAAGCATGGTTAGACTAAACTCTCTCTCTTTAGCTATTAACGCGCGGAACGATTTGAATTGAGAAAAATACATGGCGGAGACTTTGACAGATGACGCAAATCAATAATGAAAGGACTTAAAAAAATTGAAAAGTGATGCCTCTAATTATTTGATCTTCTTTGATATTTTATAATTGGGACTCTTTTTTGTTACTTAGGTGCTAAAATTATGATCTTACCGAAGAATTTCCAGCCGTAACAACACCACCTTTCCTGAACAACACTGGCAACTTATGTAAACCATCTGCGGTTGTTTCTGGTCTCGGATGCTCATCCTTCTCTATTAATACTTCTTGCTTTTTCACTTTAATTGGTACTGGAGCGATTTCGGCTTTGAAAACTCCGCTATCATAAGCTGAAAGTACACACAAGTTTGTGGTAGATTTTAAATTAAAGAATAATAATTTATGAAAGAAAATGCTTGGATGCTCTTTCTTTGATTTATTACATATTAACAATTTAAAATAATTAGTTCCGACGTATTGCATACTGTACAGGAAATATGGTCTTTAATCGCGTAGCATGTACCTAAATATATTTCTTAAATTGGTGGTTAATACACCGTTCGTTCTTATCAAGGTAAATTTCCATAAATAACATTCTGTATAATTTCTCTCATCAATACACGTTTCGAGTGATTTTTAGAGAGCGTTGCGAGAGAGCGGCACGTCTATTCGGTTTATCAACTGAATTGACATTTAATTAACTTGTAATGTTTTACTTGTGTCGACAATATTAGATAGATTATTTATATGACTATTTTTAACGTAATATATGAATTTAGTAAAATTCTCACCAGCCTTCCACTTCTTCTGGGATTGCAACGCGAACTCATCAACCTCTCCTCTTTGAAGACCATACTTCTCCGCAAGGTTCTCAGCTGTCTGTGGCATTGTGAACTTGCAGAATGAATCCAAAGAAGAAGAGGTTAGAGCATCTTCAAATGGTGTGTTGACGCCCAAAGGTAGCCCAAAGCGAACATTTCGTACGACGAAAGGGACCGTTGACATACTTTCAGTACCTCCAGCAAGGGATATGTTTGCTGCTCCAGTTAATATGTCCTGAAAATACAGATATTCAACTAATTTACGTGGGTTAGGCATCCACTATGTAACATAGAATAGATAATTATAGAGGAGAATCCGACTTAGAGTCCTTCAAGAAAAGAGCGTAAAATGCTTAAAAGGCTGGCACTTGCAAGCCTTCTGGCAATGTGAGTGTCCATGGACGGTATCACAAATAATACTTTACTACAACTTAAACAACGGGAGCCTCAATATTGTTTGTTATGCGACAGGAGCTAGAAACCCATACTAATGTACTTTTATAGTGGGTTTAAGCCTACGGTATAAAAATAATAATAAAACTAAAATCTGGTTTCATGTAAATTTTAGTCAAGGCAATGAATAAAGTAGGAGATGGCTTTTTACATTTAAAGACAGTACTTTTTAAAGCTAAGTGATGCCAAACTCACAGAAGGAATATTTGTGGGACCACAAATGCACATTGATGAAAGACGTAAATTTTTGTTATCACTGTAAGCAGTTATAAGAGTCTTTTTAGGGAACCACAGAGCCGAAAATGTAGAACAGTTAGTTGGGTTGCAGAATGTCATATCAAATTCACTTTCTTCATTCTCATTTTTCTTAATTCCATATAATCTTCGTATCTAATCGTACGGTCAGAACAAGGTAAAAGGTCCACCAGGATGTGAAGAAGCTTGAAGAACGATTTCAATAACATCATTCAAATCACAAAAGAATAAGTTAAAGTTTCACGATTGTTTGTGTTGAAATAAACATTCGTCTGTTTTATTGTTAATTTTTGAAAAGCAACTAGGTAGTTTAAGATCAAAATCAGTACGTGAGGAATCTTCTTATATAGATAAATACACAGCATAACAAAAAAATGATGTACTGACCTGAGCACTGTTGATAATTGCTTGAAATCCGGATCCACACAGTCTGTTGACTCCCAAAGCTGGTTTTTCCTGTGGAATGCCTGCCTTCAACGCTCCATGTCTCGCAGCTAGAGCCCCATCTCCGGATCCACTTATCTGAAAAGGTTTCATACATTTGACGCTAGATATTAATATGGAGGAAGTTAGTGGTGCTTTTTCTGCAAACTTCTTAATCTTAACCTCTTTCAGTTCATCTAACCTAAATGGTTATTTAAGGTGGTCAGGCTAGAGTGTTACTACCGGCTGGCGGGCCCAAAGGAGTAGTGGTTGATGATGACGCTATAGATAAGTATTGATTGTAGTCGCAAATTGTAAATGTACAATTTATGAGAAATAGAAAAGCTTTGAAATACTTCCAGCTTACTAGGCCTTTGCCCTCCTCAAAAGAAAGCGTTTGGCCAAAAAACCCATCGATATCCAGATTGAGCATTCTGATAAACGAGCTGGATAAAATCATTCAAATGCCTTTCACTAAGAACACTCTTAAAGATATATACCTAATTGTTACATTAGACCACTATTAGAGCAGTAGACCACCACCCTCCACCCAAAAAATAGAAGAACACTCTCGCCATATTCAACGCACACATATTTGTACAATGAATGTAAGGTCACTCGTTGGCAACGGCCGTCAAGAGGAATTGGAACATGCCCTGCAGAACATAAAGTGGGATATTCTTGGCCTCTCTGATATTAGAAAAGAGGGAACACACATTATTGAATACGAAGACTACATCTTTTTATACACCGGAAAGAAAAGTGGAAGAAATGGTGTAGGATTTATGGTTAAAAAGAAGTTGAAATCAAATATTTTAGACTTCGAGGTTCTATCAGAGTTCAGACCGAGTAGCAAAACTTGAAATGTCCTTCAATAATTATAAGATTAACATAATTCAAGTCTATGCCCCCACAGTGAAATCAAGCCAAGAAGACATAGATATTTTTTATGATAGCTTAAGTAATGCACTAGTAAACACTCTGCCATATACAATTGTGTTGGGAGATTTTAACGCACAAATAGGACGAGCCACTCCAGATGAAAAGTTGGTTTTGGGTTTATGGGGACACGGTAAGAGAAGCGAGCGAGGCAAACGTCTTATTGACTTTTGTTTAGAAAAACAATTGTTTATTGTGAACTCTCAATTCAAGAAAAACACAAAAAATAAATGGACATGGTTATCACCAGATACTCGAACTGCTAATGAAATAGACTTTTTTATTATTAAAAGACCCTATCATCATACCGTCGAAAATATAGATATAATTAATACCACCCACCCAACAGATCACCGTATGGTTCGTGAAACAGTGACAATTACAGCAAAAGTTAAAAGTAGAAAACAATTTAAAGGAAGACAATCAGGACTGAACCCACTAGAACAAGAAACACTCAAGAATATTTTTTCGGTTCAACACACTGAAAAATCTAAGAATATCCAAGAACGATATAATAATATAATACATCAAATTAAAACCAGTGTCGAAAAGTTACCAACAGTATCAGGGATAAAGAGAAATGACTACATAATAACTGAAAGAATAAAGGATATGATAAATGAAAGAACTGAACTAAAAAATAAACCTAATAAGCCAGAAATTGAAAAAAAGCGTCTTAAGCATCTGTATGGAAAAATTAGAAAAAATATAAAAAGAAATAAAGAATATTATCAACTCAAAATATTAGAAGAAGAAATAGATAAAAGGCGATCAGTTAAACGAGGAAACAAACGGATAAATAATACAAAACTACAAACACTAAAAACTCACACAAATGCAGTTGCACATAACAAACAGAGATAATATATTGAATATAGCGACTAATTTCTACAAAGAACTGTACAGTTTGCAAAATAAACCACTAGATGTTAGTAATAATGACATATTACTATGTTATAAAAATGAAGAGATCCCTTTGCTACTGGAAAGTGAAATCAGGCATGCCATAATGAAACTTAAATCTGCAAAAAGCCCAGGAGATGACAACATAACTAATGATATAATTAAAGCATTAGTAGAACCTCTAACATCACCTCTCACCGAACTGTTCAATGAAATTTTAAAACACGAAAAAATACCTAAGCAGTGGGAAACATCTGTAATAACATTACTATATAAAAAGGGAGACCCAATGAACATCAATAATTATCGACCTATAAGTTTATTGCAATCTACTTACAAACTTTTTACAAATATCATCCTTATCAGAATGAAGAAGGAGCTGGAGTTCCAACAACCAAGAGAACAAGCTGGTTTTAGAAGTAAATATTCAACGCTAGATCATATATTCACACTTAGACAAGTCATTGAAAAATACATGGAGTATAAAAAGACAGTGTATATAGCCTATGTGGACTACTCCAAAGCCTTTGACACAATCTTACATAACAAACTCTGGTTAGCTCTACGGGAACAAGGAATACAAAATAAATATGTTAACTTACTAGAAAAGATATACCAAAGAAGTAAAGCCACAGTCAAGTTGGAGAAGAAAGGCAACATGTTTCAACTGAAAAGGGGTGTTCGGCAGGTTAACCAATTTATTGTCCAATTTATTCACCGCACTTCTGGAATTCATCTTCAGAAAGCTGGATTGGTCACGGTTGGGAGTAAATATCAATGGCGAAAATTTAAGCCATCTGCGGTTCGCAGATGACATTGTTTTAATAACTGAAAAGCATGAAGACTTACAATACATGCTTCAATCCCTAGAAGACACAAGTAGAGAGTGTGGACTGGAAATGAACCCTGAAAAAACATGCATAATGACAAATGGCATAAAATACAGTATAACCGTCAACAGTAGAAATATAGAATATGTTGACCAGTATGTCTACCTTGGTCAAAATATATCATTTAAAAGCCATTATATAGAGGAGGTAGAGAGAAGAATTAAAAAAGCCTGGAGTTCATATTGGTCACACAAGCACATTTTCAAGTCTCAAATGAGTTTACCACTGAAGAAAAAAGTGATGGACTCTGTTGTGACACCTACACTACTGTACGGCTGCCAATCGTGGCCTATCACAGCTGAAATAATAAAGAAAATCATGATATGATATGTGATATATGATATATGATAATAAGCATGTTAGGCTTGAATCTTAGAGACAGAATTCAATGTACAACAGTACGAAAGAAAACAAAAATAATAGATGCAGCTAAAATGGTGTGCCGCCTGAAATGGCGTTGGGCGGGGCACACAGCAAGAAAGTGCGACAACCGATGGAGCGAGAGAATGCTGCACTGGTACCCGCGCGACGCGCGCCGTCCACAGGGGCGCCCGCGCCGGCGCTGGGCGGATGACATCACCGCCGTCGCCGGGGTCACCTGGCCGCGCCTGGCCCACGACAGACACGAGTGGAAACGGATGGAGGAGGCCTATGTCCAACGGTGGACAAACCAAAACCTCACAAACAAATGATTATTCCTAAATGTTAAAGTGTATTTTACGTAATGTTAAAAGTTAATTTTTCAATTCAAAATCAATGAAAGTTCTAATCTATTATAGTTAAGTTTTGGAAATAAAGGCTATTATTATTATTATTATTACTATTAGAGTATGCCTACAGCATTTGGGATTCTTATTTCATAAAGGGTAGGTATTAGTATGCTTGAAAGGGTTCAAAGAAAAGCCACGAAATTGATCAGGTCACTCAGAAATAAATCTTATAATGAGCGTCTGAAAGCACTTGACCTTACTGATTTAGGAAGTAGGAGATTAAGAGGAAATCTCATTGAAACCTATAAAATCCTCACTGGCCACTATAATGTTCCAGGAATTGAGAAGCTTTTATTTTAAGTAAAAATATACATTTGAGGGGTAATTCTTTAAAATTTAAGACCACTCAAGATAACACAAATTCCCTAAAGAACTTTCTCCCAAACCGAGTAGTGGCCGACTGGAATAGGCTTCCGGAAAGTGTACCTAATCATTGCACCATCTTTGAACTCCTTTAAAAATAGATTGGATAGTTTCTCCAAATCTCAAAATACGCGCGCATCAGCTTATTAAGCTGCTAGTGTGTTTATATACATAATATATCCCCTCAGAATAATTGCTCCCCTCACAGTTTGAAATCAATTTTCTTTTAGTTTTCATAATTTATGAATCGATGTATTTTTGTTTCTCTTCGTGTTTGTTATGTTTGTCACATAAAGTCTTGTATTTTATTTTTCTTAAGTACCAATGTATCAATGTGCCGAGCGTTGGCAATCTTTCGTAAATAAATAAATAAATACCACCGTAATAATACGTACTGTGTTTACTTGTCCAACGTTGACAGTGTCTATAGCAGTGGGGTTGACACTGCCAGCTTTGAAGGCTTCTTTGGCGGCTACAGCAAAAAGATCAGCCGGATGTGTATTCCGAAGAGCCCCACCATACTTACCAAAAGGCGTGCGTTTTGCCGCAACAATGAATATACCTATTGTAATGAATTTGTGATTACTTATTTATTTTACAAATTTATTATTCAAATCACGTTTATTTTTAATTTAATGCCATTGTCATTATATTAAATGAATAACGTCAAGTCAAATTAGTGTAAAACCGTTAATAGGAATGGTTAATTTCGAAATGACTATTCAATGGTCGATAATAATAATGACTCCATAGTCATTATTATTATTAAACGTTATTTATCATAATTTTAAATATTAAATCAATGACTATAAATATTAAAGTAATCTTTGACACTCGTTCCTATGACTGTCGTTCACTCTGTGGTCGATTCGGGTTCGGTCGTGGAACGAGTACACGAAATGTCACGAAACTGGAATTACAAATGCTGGTTGCTTAAATACAGGAACTGGTTGGTGTGGCCCTCAGTTCGATTGAGCGGTCTAACTAAGCAGAAGCCTTTAAACAGTAGACTCTCAATTCGATATTAAATGGCTGATGCCAACAAACCAATCTATGACAGGAGAAGTATTTGTATAATATAAATAGTCGAATATTGAGGATTCATAACAATTCAGAAGTGCGATAAGGACCCAATCTAAGGTGCGTACAAGTGTTTTACGATTATTAATGTTATTGCATAAATAAATAGAAATCGAACGCCCCACGTTTTCTTTGGCTACTAGAAGTTATGTACGCCTATAGAGCCAAAGTGTGCTTTACATACTGAAAGGCTATGTATCCTAACGAGCCATGTGTACGTAGTAGGTTATGTGTGCCTACAATAGGAAGCCAAGCGTGCTTCAGCTACTAGAGGCTATGTATGCCTATCGAGCCATTGCGCTTAATGGGTGATGTGTGCCCTATTAGCCATGTGTGTTTAGTAGGTTATGTGTGCCTACATTAGGAAGCCAAGTGTGCTTCAGCTGCTAGAAAGGCTAGCAGGCTCCAAAAGATAAACCACTCCTTTGGAAATTGTATTCGTTTTTACAACAAGCTCCCAAGCGAAATTAGAAATTATCTAAATAAATTCAAAGCCCTCGTTAAACGAAAATTAATCAACAAAGCTTTATAAATTTGAGGACTACTTAAATGATCCTAATCCTTGGGATTGAATTGCTCCAGTTCAAACAATTTGTATGAAAACTTGGCGATTAAAAAGAGTGGCGGAAAGTTTCTTGCCAGTTCTTCTTACCCGCTCTACGCCCCTTGACTTGCGAACTGGTAGTAAATGTAAATTTACGATTAATTTAACTTGACGATTCAAAAGTGTACTTGGTTACCTACTTGAATAAAATATTTTGAGTTTGAGTTTGAGTAGAGGCTATTATGCCTATCGAGCCATGTGTGCTTAATGGGTGATTGTGCCTATTGGCCATTGTGCTTGGTAGGTTATGTGTGCCTACGATGGGAAGCCAAGTGTGCTTCAGCTACTAGAGGCTATTATGCCTGCCGAGCCATTGTCTTGGTCGATAGGGGGTTATGTGTGCCCACAATAGGAAGCCAAGTGTGCTTCAGCTACTAGAGGCTATGTATGCCTACTGAGCCATGTTGCTTGGTCGTTAGAGGGTTATGTGTGCCCACAATAGGAAGCCAAGTGTGCTTCAGCTACTAGAGGCTATGTATGCCCTACCGAGCCATGTTCTTGGTCAGAGGGATGTGTGCCCACAATAGGAAGCCAAGTGTGCTTCACTACCAGAGGCTATGTATGCCTATCATGAGTCATGTGAGTATCCTAGAGGTCATGTGTACCTAGAAAAACGAACATTAAGAGTTACTCATTTTGTTATTAAAGTGAACCATTGTAATATTCATATAATCATAAATAAATATTCATGGATTTATTTATTGAACATATTGTGTTAATATGAAAATTCTTTAGTAATACAGGTACAAGGAAAATGTATAATACATAATTTGTAAAGAGTAATTTACAGAACAAGGAAGTAGCTTTTACCAGTAAGCCTTTTTAAGGAAGACTTTAAAATTATATATTTCCATCAAGTAAGTTTATGAGAAGTCAATTATAACCATTGGGGTTTACCTGTGCAGTAAGTTACAAACTATGCAATTTTAAACTCTATCTACCATAAACAAATTATTGTAGCAGTGTAAAGGTAAATTAAAAATTTGAATTTATTGATGTCCTTAATGCCAACAGAATTTAGCATAAATAAAGCTTGTATTGTAGATTCTAAATGTGAATATCAGAATGTTTTTGGTTCCATGTTTTCTCAGAATTGGGTGAACTTTAAAGAATTACTCATTTAATGGGAATGTGCTTATTAAGATAGATTTTATTCTGTTAGTTATTTTTGATCGTGAACTTAAGTAAAACTTATAAAATACAAAAGCTTTATTTTAAAGTAATTATAACATATAACTAATTTTATGAATTAACTTTGTTTCTGGTTGAAGTACTTGTGGTCAAAAATAATAATAAAATCAAATGCAGATATATACAACTGATATAAAATATCTTGTGCAGTGTGTTATTAAGATGTTTGCAGTTGGTCCAGGCCAGAGTCATCTTTAACAATTTAATTTGAACAGAAAAAAGAACCTAGAAACGAAGCAGGACTAGGTAGACTAGACATTACATTTATCAAGTTCATCTCAGGTATGGTGCAACTTACAAGCTAGAAATAACATGGTTAAGTCTACGGGGCATATTAAATTATCTGAACACAGTTTATAATGTCAAATTATTTTCTTTGTACTTGAACAATATTTTGAGCTTTGATTCAGCACTTTTCTTTATGTCCCTTTCATTGCTCTACAAAATGTTTTGATTGCTTAGTTTTGTTCCATTCTTTGCCTAAGTAATTTTATATTTTATGTAGTTTTGCACTTCTTGCACTACCTTATTAATGTAATTTTTATCCTCATGGACCTAGGAAAGTGCATTATTTGCACCAGGGAGTTATAGTGTTGTTGATGGAAGGTGCTTTTGCCCGTGACAAATGTATCTTGTCAAAATCTTACATTTCCAAGAAATGCCCTATTGCTAAAGGAACTTGTTTTGTTGAAAAGATAGTACCTATGTAAATAAAGTAATATGTATGTAAAGTAATAAGTAATTCGGAATATGAGCCCTTACTAATATCTGACATAAATGTTGGTTCCCAAATTGACAAAGAGGCATTAGGTAGATCATTAACTTTTACTCAATTATCTGCTTTGCATTTAATCTAGGAGAAAATGGTTGTAACAACTCAACTAGAATGAGAATAGACTTATTGGATGAGAAACCTGTAGTTTACCGACCAATAGATTATCCTTTTCGGAAAGAGATAATAAATGACTTGTTGCAAAATGACTATACAAAGTCCAATTCAAGAATATGCCAGTCCTATTTGGTAAGGAAGAAAACAGGAGAACAGCGCTTATCCGTTGATATAGGGCTCTCAATAACAAAACGAGGAAAGATTGTTTTCCGTTGCCGATAATCGATGATCACTTAATTAATGATCAATTAACTAACCTTAGTGGCAATAGATTCTTACATCTTAGATCTGTTTCTGGGTAAGTATAAACTTGATGAGTTAGCATTGGGTGACATTCTTGTGCCTCGGTTACCCTGGAGGAGGGATTTGAGAGGTTAGAGATGCTTTGAAGTTGTTACGGCTAAATGGGCTCACTTTAAAATTATCTCAATGGATTCTTCAGTATACCCTTGACTATCTAGGCTTGAGATTTCTGCAGAAGGCATACGTCCTAACGAAAGTAAGATTCTAGCTGTAAAAGAGTTTCCTTTCCTCAGATCGTACATGAAGTCCGTCAGTTTTGGGACTAGCGGCTATTTTAGAAAATTTATCAAAAGTTTCGGTGAAACACTAGGCCTCTAACCAACTTTCTCAAGAAGGGAAATGTTTTAAATGGACAGATAAAGAATTTCGTTCGTTTACTACCTTAAAGGATAATAATTGGCCGACCAATCTATATACAATCTAATGAATCTGAGTTGCATACGGATGCAAGTTCTTTAGGCGTGGGTGGAATTTCTTAGCGGCCGGAGTCGCGTGCTCTTAAGCCATAGCTTACTTTAGCCAGTAAACCGCCCCGGAGGAGCGTCACTTCCTCTTATGAACTCGAGACCCTTGCAATTGTATGTTCGTAAAGAAATTAGGGTATATTTTTGGGGATTGAGTTCAAAACTGTAACTTTCGTACTTAACAAACGACTAATACCCTAATACTAGGTGGTGGCTTTTAACAAGTGAATTCAATTTTAGTATAGAGTACCGGCCAGGCTCCGCATGGCTTATTGGACACTGAGCCGTAACACGAAATTAACACCCGAGGTTATCGATATTCTACAGTTACAGTCTATAGTATCGACACTGATAATTGGCTCTTGACTTACAAATGTCAGATCCTGAGATATCCCGAATATATAAAATTCTTAAGCCTAGTCTGATAGAGAAGCTAAAGATATTAGGAGAACTATTTAGTTAAGAACTATTTAGTTACAGTGTATAGGAGAGTTGATGATAAGATCTGTTTAGTAATTCCTCGCAGTGCTCGATGGCAAATGTGTAAATCTAACCACGATGACGCAGGTCATCTAGGAATATCAAAGACTACCGAGAAGATTCAATCTGTTTTCTAGTTTCCTAAGTTACGTAGAATTGTTAAAAAGTATGAAAGTCTTGCATTAATTGCCTATAGGCACGCAAAAGGCATAAGGATAACGCGTCTCGACTATGAATGGTCGTTGTATCCGATAGAGAGGGTAAGCATTCCGGCCACACCATTACATTGACCACTTGGGTCTATGTCAAAAGCAAAACGGCAATATTTACATTCTCACCATAGTGGACGGATTTACCAAGTATTTGTTGAAGAGCTGCTAAGGATACAAAGACTAAAACAACTGTTAAGGTATTGCTAAATATTTTTATGACTTCGGTTTACCATCTCGAATTATATCAGATCGAGGTACCTCTTTCACTTCACGCTTTTAAATCTTTTTGCGATACTCATGGTATTAAACATGTTTTGAATGCTGTTGTGTGTCTCAGAGCCAACGGCCAAGCCGGAAGTTAATTAAACGATCTTAAGCTCACTTGTAAAGTTTTCTACGGTGAGACGAACGGAACTGCGACATGTGTGTGTAGGAAAAAATTCAGTGAGGAATTAATAATCAACTAACTCCACCACTCAAAAGACAGCTACGGAAGCATTATTTGGAACCAATTGGAAGATAGCCTAAGTAATATGTTAGATATAAATAATGAGTCTACCAAACTGTACAGAAGTGAGGCAAGAAGTTCGTAAAATATCGGTCTACTAATAAAAAAATCCTAACATACGTTATAACAAGGTGATAGTAATTCAGTGAATAGAGCTTGTACAGGGCATAAACACCTCTTTGACCAATATCGATGTGTATTGGTTAAATAAATAACAAAACGACCCTTATTTATTGTTACCCTGGCAACCCGACGTGTTTGATTGACGTTTGATTTAATAATTCTGTACAACTCATAATTCTAATCTAATAGAAACTCCAAAAAAATCAGACAAAGAGGACTAGAATTTTACATAATAAGCCGCGTTCTGCAGTAGGTACAAAGGTTAGAAGAGGCATCTCAAATAGTGGAAAGTAGTAACGGATTGCACCGAGTTTGTAGACAGGATTCGCCGTGGATCAATATAAATGTGTCCGAAATAATGATAATTTAGAAGCAGTAGCTAGCAGCAGTAGTAGTCTGATAGCGAAAGTAACAAAATACTGAACTATCACAAACAATCTGAATCCAAATAACAGCCGAATGTAATGAATTATTGATTAAAACAGAAATGTATAGATAAGTTACAATTAGTTCACATGAAACTAAAATATTTTGTTATGTACCTATTGAATTTATAAAACCTTTCCATGATTATATACCGTGCGTCAGGAGATCGCACGTAGTCGGACGGCCGAATGTAATGAATTTGTGATTACTTATTATTTTACAAATTTATTATTCAAATCACGTTTATTTTTAATTTAATGCCATTGTCATTATATTAAATGAATAACGTCAAGTCAAATTAGTGTAAAACCGTTAATAGGAATGGTTAATTTCGAAATGACTATTCAATGGTCGATAATAATAATGACTCCATAGTCATTATTATTATTAAAGTTATTTATCATAATTTTAAATATTAAATCAATGACTATAAATATTAAAAGTAATCTTTGACACTCGTTCCTATGACTGTCGTTCGACTCTGTGGTCGATTCGGGTTCGGTCGTGGAACGAGTACACAAATGTCACGAAACTGGAATACAAATGCTGGTTGCTTAAATACAGGAACTGGTTGGTGTGGCCCTCAGTTCGATTGAGCGGTCTAACTAAGCAGAAGCCTTTAAACAGTAGACTCTATGTCGATATTAAATGGCTGATGCCAACAAACCAATCTATGACAAAAGGAGAAGTATTTGTATAATATAAATAGTCGAATTTGAGGATTCATATACCTATCAACGATAAAATGTATGTAGTTTCGTTTCGTTAAGACCCAAACTATTCAGTTATAAAAATGAATTATTCAATCTGAGGTAGATTTTAATTAAACACCAGTGACGATTGAAGATATAATCAGGTGATATATTGGTGTTCGCTCGTGACAGATGGTAACCCTAGTTTTAGGCACGGTAAAAGGAGAAGCCAAAGGACAGTAATACCGAATCCTGCGCATCGACCATTGACCACAACAAAAGTTTACAGACGTGAGTGAAATGATAATTCTAATATATGTACATTAGACACGCTCTCAAAAATATACATATAGAAAGAATTTAACCTTGAGCTGAAGTGTGGTGACTAAACGTTAAATTTAAAATTATGATCAAAATAAAAACGCATTGCTGTTTCATTAATTAATTTTAGGAAATGGCCGGTCGACTTTCTAGATCTTAAAAAACATGGAATCAGGTAAGTACGCAAGTTTGGAAATATTTACTACTCATTACTCAAATAGTAACTCGTAATGACGAATTGTGTATTTTGATGGATGGATTTAGAAATGTATTTATGTAATTTTGTTGATGACAATAACTTCATGTATAATTAGTAGTTTAACTGTTACATACAATGTTTATCAAAATACACAGAAGTCGTCATTCGCATAAAAACCAATGATCATACCCGAGTGGACATTGACCCCGAAGCGAACTCGTAAACATTTAGCACAACAAAATGGAGTCCGTTACTTTTAAAGGCAAAGAACTTATATTTGAAGTAAAGTTCTACTAAAATATATTTACCATAACTTTATAAATCTAGGTACCTACTTACCTTTATTTACTGCTGTCATATTGACACTTGAATACGTGTGAATCGGTAGATAACCGGTGTAAGACTGGAAATTAGTTGATAAGGTTACAAACAAAAATACTTAAATTAGGCAACTTTATTGCCGCAGCTAGAATGTTCAAGGTTTTTTAAAGCATATAGGCTTTACGTCCTAGGTTCTCGAACATAACAAAAAAAGGGTGCGTGTACTTATGTACTCGCGTAAGAAGTTATACTTCTTTGGCATTATTAAAAATAGTTTTTCATTGCATGCAAATAATTAATTACAATTAAATAATCAAAGACTGGAAAAGGAGTCATTATAGTCAATAAAGTTCAGTTTACATTTGAAAAATTAAATAAATAAATATTTATTATTATTCTCTTACATTAAGTGTAACATAAATTCTATTATTATTCGAATGTTGTTTTTAAATTATGTCCAATGCCGTAGCATCTTCATTCTGTCAATTTTGTGCGCATCGTAAAATTTCACTCCCAACAATTTTTCATAACGCGCCTAAAGTATAACCTCAAAAATATTTAGCCTTTTAAAGTTTGTGACAAATGCTAAATTTGAGTGTCGGCGATGTGTTTATTTTGAACAAAATAAATGTATTAATTCATTATTGTCAGCGAGCGTAAAAACGTAACATTGTAACTAGAAAATAACTTTCCACAATAATTGATGATAAAAAACTAAGACGGTACGAAAGATATTAAGCTATCAAAATAAACTTAATTACCAATAAATACCTAAAAATATTCCCTGTATATTTTAATAGCTGGATAAAGGTAAAAATAAAACAAATTGTTTTTAATGTTTTTTATTAAAAATAGTAAAGGGGGCGTCCATAAATTACGTGAAAACGGTTGACCCTAAAGGCCATCTCTGCAACTTCCCGCTAACTCCATACCTAAACGCTCAACATTTCATTTATTTTGTTTTTGAACTCTTCGAGCTCAATAGTACGAATTCTGTGTTATTTTGAGTTCTCCGAGCTCAAAAAGATACCTTCTTACGCTTTTACGTAAGAAACCGACATTTTGAAAAATCTCACGTGAGATTGGGGGATGGGGTTGAATAAAATCTCACAACATCTCACCAGGGGGGGAGGGAGGTACAGAAAATTAAAAAAAACACCTCACGTAATTTATGGACGCCCCCAAAGGTGATAACATTTTTTTTTAAAAGTTCGTTGGACGATAACACTATGAAATGTATACTTAAATATTACAAATTTTATAGATAAAAATATTTTTTTATATCGATTATTGTCATATAATGATGTAAAGTTGATTCTTAAAATAAACATATATTTCACTGTTTTTATTGTGCGTTAAACACATATATAAATAAGTTTTGTGGGCCTTAATTATTGTGATTTAAAAATCTTCTCGCTAAAGACCATTAGAAAAATAAATATGACAAGAAAGTGACACCTCTATACCATATTCAGAGACAATTTTGTGTTCTAAATATAAAATTTAAATTTGACAGATGCTCTGAGACAAGTTAAAGTGTCAGCTAGTCCAATTGTCACGGGTTCTGGCCGCTATCCCTAAATTTTCAATTTTCAAATGACAATTTGTTCGTTAATTACATTTTTACTTATAAATCTGATATAAAGTTTGATTTCCATGAGCACATTTATACAGTTTCAACCATGACGGCAATGCCTTGTCCTCCCCCGATACAGGCAGATCCAATACCACGCTTCAGGCCGCGACGTCTACAAACAAATAAAAATATTATCAATGTAAGTACTAACTTCCAATATATATGGATAGTTATTCGCTGATTACGTCAATGTGGGATTGCGTGGTACAAAACTCAACTCTGTCTTGTTGGTCACCAGCTGACCAGGGGCCCAGTAGGTGGACGGAGGATGGGAAAAATAGGGTTTAAAAACATTTCAGCATTATCTGTCACAACAACAAATATTCGACCTCTAAATCCTATTAAAAGAAAAACTGATAAATGTAATGATAACATAACAGTGTTTGATAAGACGAGATAATATGATTTGGATCTAAATTTTGCTTACGTGTAAAAACTATTTTAAAACGACAAAGAGAAATTGCAATTAATACAGCCAATATTCTGGACACACGACAGGATATTTTTATGTTTCTTATTAATTTATTATTTATTTTAACAACAAATATTGTTTACGCTGGAATCAAATTGTAACTTACAAGGTTTTCATACATTACAAAAGTAAAACTTACTAATATTTGTTTTATCACGTTGTTGTCAGTTAATGATAATCTTAATATATATATTTCTTCTGTGCGTGTGTATGTGACTGAACTCCTCTCAAACGACTGGACCGATTTTGATGAAATTTTTTGTGTGTGTTCAAGGGGATCTGGGAATGGTTTAGATTCACAAATCAGCCCGGCAGATGGCACTGCAGTCGGTACTTTCATACTTTGCTTAATATCCTAATCGCTTTAAATATCATGCAGGACAACGTCTGTGGGGTCCACTAGTATCTATATAAAACCTTAATTATCAAGACTTGGTCAAACCTGTATAAAAACGTTTATCGTTTAAAGATACGATAAAAATCTATTAAATATACTTGTTGTTTATTCCCATTCTTAAGATAAAACTTATAATTACCTAAATTATACTATAACTTTCCTTAAACAAAAAATATGTATAATATCGATTACAGCGACCCCTTATACAAATTATACTCTTTTCTCCATCAGTTGTTATGTATTTA